GTCTTCTAAATGTGCTCACATAGCCAGCCAGAAAAGTACAATGGTATCCCTCGATTCTCTCCTCTTTCTTCAAATAAGTATAAAACATATATAAACTATTTTCACAAAGTTGTTAAGCAAATTGAATCTTCCTTTTCATATAGTTAGTACTGAAAGTGTATCACTTATGAATTACGCCTTGAGGTTGTGTTCTTAGATGTTCTAAATGAATCCAAGATGTGCTGTCATCCAAATGTCAGATGTTTTTTTCAAACCAGGAAATTGAAATTTCATCAGGTCCTTTCGCCCCCTCTATAACCACCCCAACTGGTTTGTAGCTTGTTTCCATTCCTAGTGATTGTAGTCACAGTCCTAGCAGTCTCTTTTCTATGAAGAAATAATTGGAATGAATCCAAACTTTTTCTTTTTTTAAAAACTCTGAAGTTGAACCCTTGATCCAACTCGCAAGCAATTGCTCTGTGCTAACATTTCTTCTAAAACACCAGAACCTTCTAAAAACCCTCCCAGAACAAGTGATCCTCCTTGCTGTCTGGAGGGAGGAGATAGATTGTATAAATAAATAGAGCTATCTCCTCCTCACAGAGCTTCTTCCTTTTGAATGTCTGTGCCACTTACTTTTAATGGTTTGTGGCCTAATAGCATAAATATTCTTGCATTATTCACTGAAGGTGATTATCTTTTTTATTTTTTCCCCATTTTAAACAGGAGCAACTTCATATATGGCTCATACTTAAGTAAAGAAGAAATCGCTTTCTCTGACCCCACTCCTGATGGAAAACTCTTTGCAACGCAGTACTGTGGCACCGGCCAGTTCCTGGTATACAACTTCCTCAATGGACAGCACCAGACTTAACTGCTCCCAAAGGAATTCCTTTTTTATTGGGAGACTTCTGCCAAAATGCACTGAGTGGGTGCAGACCTTCAGCAGAAGCCAGGGCCATTTTTTATTACAGTGAACTCAGGACTGGTAACAACCAAAAGGTTGTACTATTTTATTAAAATTGTAAACAATGCAGTAATAGGCTAACTTTGTTTTTTTAAAAGAAAGATATTTTATTAACTTTTACAAAAGTTTGATTGTATTTTATCTAGTTAGTCATGTTTACATGCAGCAGAAAACTGTTCATAGTGGACTGTAAGCTAATGCAAAGACTCTCTCACTGATGAGTACGTGCTGAAGTTCTTAACGTGGTGATATACCAGTGCTTCTCGGTACTGTAATGCTGTTCTCTGACCACCAGTTCCAGCAGCTGGGTGAGGCCCTTAATGGTCGCTTGCTCCACAGCAGTCAAGGCTACACTCAACTGCATCCGGGCAAGAAGCTTACGGTGCGGTCAGGGTGGGTAACAAGCCTCACGGACCGCGTGGCGGCTCCTGGGGTGCGCTGCTGGGTGCAAGGGCGCCTGCTAGATGTCGGAAACTTGTTCTACTCCCTGCCCGTGCCTCCCCCAGATTAGTTGTAAAGAGGTGAAATGCAAACCCCGAGGGCCAGCGTACTCATCGTTTTTCTTCAAGTACTGTACTGGGTATATACCTTTGTTAGTGGACTTCACTTTGCTACTTGTCACTCCTTCATAAATCTCTCCTCTTTTAAAGGGTTTGTATGTTGAAAAACTGCTGTGGCCTTTCTTGATCTGTACATAATGTAGATAGATTAAAAATAAAAGTCTTGATAGCTTTTTTTAAAGTTACTTTGTAGCGATACTGTGAATGAATCTTTGGTGTATTTCATGCTTTTGCATGTGAAATGTTACCTTAGTGGCTAATGGCAGCGTGTGTTTTTGTTCGTACCTGCTTGGGCTCAGAATTCCCTTTGTGACAGTGTGTTTGCATCACCCCCCCCAGGATCAGCTGCCCCGTAGCTCTGGATCAGTATCATCCCTGTACAGGGTTTACACTAAGGTGAGAGGCAATGCCTTCAGCCTTGAATTATAGCTTAAAACCCTACTATAAGGTGGGAAAGATTTAATTAAACTTCCGTTTTGTTTTAATTTTGGAACCTATGTGCAGTGAGGATACACTTGTTCATATTGCACTGTCCTTTCCTTACCTCGGCATGAAATGCCGAGGTGCGTTTGCTGCTCTTAAGTTCTTGCCTGAGGGATACTGTAGTGGGGCCAGACCGAGCCCCTCTTTCAATTCAATTTGCCCCCCCTATACTTCAGGGTCCTACAAGCTGGTAGTTACAGCACGTGTACCTCCTCCCTCTCGTCCGTTTGAAACAGGGCTACTCTCCTGGGTCACAGGTACCCGGTTTGAAAGATGTCCAATACCGGCAGCACACCGTGTCACCTCCATAAAATCAACAAGCGGGATGACGGCAGCAGCGTGAGGTGGGTTCCTTGGGGTCAAGCGCTGTCGCGTCCTGCGCCAGTACTGGTTAAAAAAGAGGCAGCCTGCAATTGTAACTTAATATATTCAAATTTAATGAAAGCACATTATAAACATACCATAGCCACAACTTCAGACAGTTTCAGTTCATAAACAATAACATGAGGTAGACTGACTAGTGAAGCTAAATTCACCAAGTTTTTGGTTAAGAAAACTTTACGCTAGGAAAGCAACATTTTTACCCCTCTTCCAAAAGTCACAAAAAGCAATTACATAAGTTAAGCAAAAGAGCATCTGCATATGATTCTTTAAATCTTAAGTTTACATTCAAATTTAACCTGTGAATAGACAAGAACATCTACAGGTAAAATATAATGCTGGCCAATTTAATACATTCATAAGAATGGCCTTGGATGGTGAGGCTTACAACCAAAATGGAGTAGCGATAATCCAGCTGTCGGATAACGGTCTCCTTCCTGGGAGCGCACAGCCAGCCAGTTGCAGCGTGCCGTGGCCCGGAGCCTTACCCAAACTCCTTGCTTCCGGGTGGGGGAGAGTTAAGGAAATGGGTTTACTGTTGTTTGGTAAAGGCAGGCAAATACGCTGACTTCCGAACTGCGCTCGCAACCTTCAGGACAGTTTCGTGCCGCTTCACCAGAGGGCTAACTCTTCCTAGTAGTCTCAGCACCTGGAATTTCAAGAACTTAGTGCAAACAATCAAATACACAATCAAGAAGGAAACCCTTTTTTTGAACACGTAATGTCTGAAACTTCCACGGCACACTAAGACTCAGGGTTGTCCTTAAGCCCTTCAGGCAAAGCCAGAACTACTGGAATACATTCAGGTGTGTATCAAAATGCTTCAAGAAGCATCTTTTATATTCCCTACTTCTTCCAAGTGTTAAAATAGATAAGGCAGGTTGTGTCTGAGGGAAAATAAAAAATAAATTTACAGGAATGGGTTGCTCACTTGAAATTTGCTAAATTTACAGCAACAGAGTTAAGCTACATTAACACAGACATATGCAAACCATTTTCCTTTAGCCTCCGTTGAATATATTATGTTTTTTCATCTGTAAACATCTCTCTTCACAAGATAAAAAAAGTTGCTTAATTAACACTATGTTTATAAAAAAAAAAATAGATGCAGCTTTGGCAGGTCCTTCTCCAATAAGTTGCAGGTCAAGTAGAAAGATGTGTTATTTCATTGCTTTTTGGGGAGTAAATTAATATTCCTGAATCACTTTTAAGAACACACTGCATTTTGCTTTCTAATAACAGGGTCACGACGTGCAGGAAGATTATTGTTTATTTTGTTTGTATGGAACCCGCAGTGGGGTAACCCGCACTAAGGGCATGAGGAGAGCAGAGTACTGCTACAATTTAACCCTGACAACCAAAAGCTGCTGCACCGAGTTCATTCCAGAACAACTTAACAAGAATCGGTAAAATGCTTGTAAGTAGAACAACGCGCGACTACCACTACAACCAATATTTACAGAAGTTAAAACAAAGGGCTGATGGCATTAGGTGGCGCATTCAGAGCTCTCTGCTGCTCGACAGAGTCTCTCCTGAGCAGTCCCAGCTCCCTGGGACTTCTCCCCTGCCTCCCCCTGAAGCTACTGTCCAATACTTTCTGCTTCACTTGGACACATTTGGGGTTTTTTTTTTCCCTCTCAAGTCCAGCTCCGGCATCACTGTCGTCCTGCAGGTTTTTTGGTACGTTGATTCACATGTGGGTGTGACTTGACACACCTGATCTCGGCTCCACAGCCAAGGGGAGCTGAGCAAAAAGGACACGGAGGGTAAGTAAGTTGCCTATGGCCGCCCCAAAGGCATGGGATGCACAGTAGGACTCGTTTCCATAGACAGAGGAGGGTGGAACCGCAGGCTTTCAAATGTTGATGAGAGTGAGGAACTGCAGGTGTTTTGCTGAGAAATTATTCTCTAACTGAGCGGAGAGCATCTACAAGAAGCCTTTCACTTTGTCCCCACGGTCAAGGAGGAGGTACCTAATGGGGTGAAGTAACGGGTGCTGGGAGAACTGGGCGCACGGTGCCTGCCATCCATGTGCTGATTTGTTCAGGTTTAAGCAGTAAACTCGGAACACCTGTGGAAATTTTGCCAAAGACAGTTTCAATACATACACAGTTACAAATTTTAAACTAACACTGCACAGAGAACAAGACTATTCCTTTTAATACAAATATCTACGTTATATTGTAGTTTCAAACCCCTGAGTATTGCTGTACCATGGTACAGAGCTAAAGAGACACGGTGGGCTCTCCTCCACAATAAATTCCACGAGCTGCGTTGCGTTTTGTGTAACAACACATTGAAGCTAGCAGCTGCTGAGAGCAGCTTCTTCCTCTAGCTCAGCTGGATCTTCTTCAACTGAATGACGTCGTCTTCCTAGATCCTACAGCTTGGTTGGCCATGTGATTAGCGTCGGCAGTTCTGACTGATAGGAAAGTAAGTGGAATCCAGGATCCTTGAAATCGTAACTGATGTGGTAATTTTATCCCTAGGAATAAAGCCTACTTCAGAATTGTGGGGAATTCTTTAGAGCAGTCTAGATAAATATTGGTTGCACTTTGCTCCACAGTGATTGTACTTTTTTTTTTAAAAGTTCTTTTTTTTTTTCTTTGTTAGCAGTGTCTTAGCAAAGCTTATATATGGCGTCCAGTAAGAAAATAGAGTGGTTTGTCATCACTGCTGTTAGCAGTTTGAAATTCATCCCGCAGTCGGAACTGCCACTCATCCTCCAACTCCAACCGGACTATTGTCTGCCGTAACGAGCTTCTGTCTTGACATATGACACACAGGGTGGCACCTTCAATTGAAAAGCACGTTAGATTCTCAGGGTACAATAACAACTCTGTTTGCTTCATTCATTTTCAAATCTTTAGGAACATTTCTCATTTTAAAAAAAACCCAAAAAGTATTAGCAAAGGTCTACCAACAACCAGCCAGCCCGGGACTCTGACCAGTCCTGTGAGCCCCAGGGCAGAGGCAAATGTGTCCATGTGGAGGAAGGCATGGACAGGAAGAAGCAAGTGTGGTCTGGCATCTGCTCTGCATCACAGGACATCGCTGCCTGACTGGTGTTAGTATCATCAACCATAGCAGAAAGAGTGGAGGTTTAAGGATCTTGAATCCAAAATCCTTAAATCACTACTGATAATTATGCCAAAAGAATAAAGCCTACTTCTATTTTTTGTTTCATGGAATATTTGGGTTTGTACAAGGTCAGTGATGAAACTCTACTGGGTGAACCAGCCCCACAACTGACTCTTGAGAAAGTCTGCTATCACCTCAATGAAGTCTGAGAGCTCCCCTTGGAAAAGTGCTGTAAGAGGAATTACAAACCAAATCCCTCACTTTTCTGGCTTAACAAACTTGCACGCTTCCTTCCACCTGGTGTTACCAGACTGTGCAGTCATTTAATAAGCAGGACAGCTGGACACCGTCAGGGTTTTCTCTGTTCTGTACGCCAGCCTACGCACCTGTCACACGGCAAGTTCAGGTTCAGATCCCTCCTCTGCCTGACTGCAGCAGGGGAAGGCCCTTGGGTAAAACAATGAAAGTTTTTAATGAGGTTTATGAAGCTCTGGTGAGGGTAGACCCCACCATCCTCCAGCTAGAGCTGCCCTGATCTACAATACTGAATATTTATTGCCATCATAGATTACTAGAGCAGAATTTCTCATCTTCAGCAGCAACGTCTATGCTCTAAACTCTCACGTTGCTGACTGGACAATTCATTGACTGCTTTCCATCTATCTTTTTTTTTTTCTGCACCTATTTCCATTTGATGTCACTTTAAAATAATTTAATGAATGTAATTTATCAAAGCTTACCTAAGTTTCAATTATTACCAACAGGAACAGAAGTTTTATACACTCCCAAAAGAAACGCTCCATCTGTTTCTTTTGAAAACCATGGCAGCACTAACTATGAAAATAATGGGGCTGTTCAATGAAGCTGGTTATTCTTCTACCTTTCCCTTTTCCTCCATGCTATTACTTGGCAGGAAAGCACCTGGGATGCCTGGCAGAGCCACGAGATGCTTGAGGAGGTCTGCACCAACGAAGGAGTCACAGAGATAGAGCAGCAGTCCGCTGAAGAACACCCCTTCGCAGTTGACATTGACGGAGTGCGGGCGGGAACTAATGTAACATATAGCCACCTGAACCGGAAGGGGAAAAAAAAGCAAGCACTTCCGTGTTAGCAAATGCCTAAGTGGGATGGAGTATAACTTAGTGATAACAGGGGAGTCAGCTGGTGGTAGTAAAAATACAACCCAACAAGAATGCAGCACTGAGCAAACATCCCCTAGGAAATAACACACGGGACAAACTTCTAGATTCAGATGTGGTCACCAAGTCTGCAATACATTATCTCAGGGCTCTCCATAATTCACTGTGATTTTCCGCTTCTCTCTGAATTACCTGCTCGTAACAATTGTTAAGATGATTTAGGTTGTTCTAATAAGGATATGTTTGTCAAACACAGTAAGTAGTCCCATGAGCACTGAAACTGCTGAAGCTTGATCTCCTCTGCACTGGCACACGTCTTCTCTGACCACAAGCATCAACTAAGTGGTTCTCAGCACTGGGGCTCTCCGGTGTTTCAGTGCCATGACAGCTGTTCTGCATCAACAGGTTTCTTCTCTATCTTGCCACTGACCTCCATAAAATTTGTCAGCACAAATCCCTTGTTAGACTTTCACCCTGCTTCAGACCCCGTTCAAACTGGCCAATGGGTTCAAAAATTCTGATTTCCCTACCAGGGATATCTAAGACTTACTTGCAAAAACCTAGTTCCCCTAGAAACCCAGGTTCATAAAAAGAAAAGCATCTAAAAGGAGAGCTGCACTACAAAGGATGAGCTTTGTCCATCAATGAAGCAAGCCACCAGACAAGGGTCATATCAGAAACTCTCCCAGTCAAAATAAGTTTCCTGCAAGGACAAATCAAACACAGATAATAAAAAGCTGTATGATAGGACAGTGATCTAAAAAACGTTGTGGGTAGTTTTTGTACAGACAATGCAGCACACCAAGTTCTGTCAAGAATGGCATCACTTTAAGGTTTTTGCTTTGTCTGAAATATTATTTCAGACAGACACGCCCAATCCCTTTACAAATCACATCAGTCCATCACAGACCTCTGGTCTCTACCCACACCAGTCAGCTAGGAGGCTCTACCACCAGCTCCTCCAGTGGAGCAGCTCCTTTAGCTCCAACAGCAGAGTCTCACTGTTGGACACCAAAGTCTTCAAACACTATCCTGAATGCTGAGGGTTCCATAAAAGAAGGGTTTTTTTACCACAAGAAAGATGTTGAACTAAAGGTTTGCATTTACTGGCCCCCATTATCCCTGCAAATATTTTGTACCTCGAGCCCGATGTTCAGGTAGCAGTCAATGGCCAAGACTGGGTTCTTGAAGTTATGAATGGCCTTTGGGAAGAGTTTGTACGTCGCGTGTTGAAGGAACTTCTCCAGGAGGAACTGAGACGGCGCTGCCAACAACGTATGCTCACTGTCAGGGGCGCAGACATACTGAAGAGGCATTATTGGTGCCAGGCTGTCCGAAACCTGCAGTGAAACCAAAGGGAACCCCTTTTAACCCACCTACTCAGTGTATCTTCTCTGCAGGAGTTCCTCTAGCTGGGGAAGGGATCACCATGACAGGGCAGGAGGAGAGAGAAAGCTGGGGGAAAGAATCAAAAATCCCCGCTCGATTTTGATGCAGCACCAGGGCACAGAAATAAATGAATTACTTGTTCTGTGGTTGCTAAGTACTTCTGTGGATATCTGTTCGCCTAAATAAGGGACATAAAATAGGGACTTCGAATTGTCACAATGCCCTTCATCCTGCCTTACTCCTGGACAGTGAAGGAAATGACATCCACAGAAAATGCTTTCTATGGAGTTTTCTCATAGGCCAGTCCATCACTACAGATTCCACTGCAACCACAAGAAAAGGAAAATTCAGAAAATGACCTCCCAAAATACTCAAATCCAGGGTTTAGTCAGTTAAATCTGAAATACAGAGGTGATTTTTTAAGAGAGGGATGGCATGGGATGTGTTTAAACCCACCCAGAACACAAATGGTAAGATTCCTAGATTAAAAACAACCCTTTGAAATACACCTCCACTTAAAGCTGGCACAGGCGTAACATACTCTGTACGAAGTATTTTGTATCCCCACGCCACTCTTCCTAAATACTTGGATTTCCCGGGTGGATTTCAGAAGGTTGCCATTTTCAGTGCCTCTCCTCAGGTCTCTTTTTGTCAGCAAATGCAAGGACTGAAAGTTGTCACGAACCAGCAAGCAGTGGAAACTGGTGGCTGCGTTGAAATTATTCAAACTAGTCCAGTACAACTTGCCTGCTTTTGCTCTGCAAATTCTTCCTCCGTCAGAGATACCAGTGAACAGCTAGCTCTTTCCAATCCCAGTCCATCTTCCAATAGATTAGGAGGGTTATTGTTAATAATTTATAATCAGAAAAATATTTACTATTTTCTATTTCTGATGTGGCAGCCCTACCGTGGAGTAGGCCATCAATGTCAGATGTCAAATAAGCACAAAATGAATCTAAAAGGCTAGAGAATTCATTATTTCTAGGGGAAACAGGTCCTGATTTTACCCTTTACGTATGACGGAGCATACATCCGCACTCACCATGATTTTTGGCTTAACGACAAAGTCCTTTTGTCCTCCAACCTGAATATGCTTCTTCATGACGCTGAAGTTGTTGAAGCGGCAGATGAGCAGGCCACTGCTGTTCGTCCGCAGATTAAAATCTACATCTTCACAGAAATACCTGGACATTAAACACAAGATCGCTAAACCAGCTGTGTGGCTGCTGTGCGTGAGCAAGTATTCACACACCCGCTGCTGAAGTGCACCGGAACAGGCTCAGGAGACATTTTTGGAGACCATCTCATATGGTGCCTGTACAAATTGTCTACACAGCTCTGACGACTCATTCCTTCAACATGCCCCTGGTGTAGGAAAGCAACTTCTGGTCATCTTAAGACCAAAAAGTCTTCATTTTTCAGCACATCTTTATGGCATCAATCATTTCTTCCCCACCCTTTCCTTTTTTTCTTCTTTTTAGTTCTTTTTTTATACATATTTTAGAACTGAGAGAAGCTCAGCAGTGACCAACTTCCATTTCTGAACATGCCAGTTCTACATGACATACTTTTTGATGAACTGGAATCAGGGAATAAATGTGGCTTTGACAAATATCTGGGTAGGGAAGGCAAAGCAACTGAGAAGTAACGTTTATCCTGTGCTATTTACGATGTAATTGCTCACTTCTGTGGGCTGATTCCCATCTCATGATTCAACCAGCCGGAGAATGTGAAATCAAGATCTCTGGAAGCCACACCAGACCCCAGCTTGCACCAACAGGCTCCAATTCCTCACTCAAACACTCAGGATCTCTGAAAGCAGCAGCAGGAGGCCCGGGTGAGATGCCCCAGGGCCAGGCTGTGGCTGGCAGAGACAGGGTTTGTTCTATACATGCCTGGCCAGGGGAGTGGGCGAATTGCATATTGCTTCAGCCTGTGATGAAAACTAGAGGTAAAGCCCCACGGTAACAGTGCTTTATTGGAAATGCTTTAGGATGGAGTTAGGTGAGGAGGAGGGGAAGAAAAAAAAAGGAAGGAAATAGTGGAAAGTTATTTACTCATCTGTCTTTACTGCAAACCCAAGAGGCAATAGGGAGGAAAGCTGACTCTGAAGAAAACAGAAGGAATCCTTCCTCACAGCTTCCAGAGTGCCTCTGGAAGCTCCACACTCTTCCTGTGACTGATGTAATTCTGGTTTCTTTCTTCTATTTTTAGTCTCGTGGTTACTTATTTCTCCTGAAATTTTGTCTTCCCCCCCGCCACCTTTTCAGTCCTCTGTAGCCCTCCCTGGCCTTGTGTTCTGTCTCTCCCAGCTCTTTTGGCTGCTGCTAAGTTTATTTTGATGCCTTATTCATTCAGATGCAATCATCTGAGTCACTCTGTGTTTTATTTTTGTGATTGTGCACTTGTTACCTTAGAAAGGATCTTTCTATTTATCTCGACAGGGTTTAGAAATATGGTGACAAGATTCTTATCATGACAGCGTATTATTTTACCACATACATATATATATATATATATAGCCTACCTGTTTAGGTCATATTGCACATTCTGGGTCAGGTCTATGTTGAGCAGTACAAAATCATGCACATGGCACCTGGAGAATGGAGCTTTGGATTTTCTGGCATTCAGCTTGCTGTTCCATTTCTGAACACCCAGTATTGCATAATGAACAATTTTGGGGGTGGCTTCAATGTGTTGGAGGACAGTCTTTAGAGACACGTTCTTGCTGGAACACCCAGGCTCCAGGGACTGGCTGCAAAACGCAATCATACAAACATGGCTTATTATTTTTATATAACATACACTGCATGTGTATACACACACACACACACACATATATGTGTATACAAAGGACCAAGTAATTCCATTAACAATTGAGTGTGTTTACTCTAGATGTAAAAATATATACATAAATGCAGACTTTTGAAATAACAGCCAACTTATCTTATCCACTCAATTTAGTCATTGTAAGAAAACGGGCCTTTCAGCAGAATAAGGTCTTACACAGCAATTTAGAAAGGGAAAAGGAATCGCCTTATGCCCCATTACTGGAAGGCTATTTTCTCCGTAATGGACAGCATAAGCACCGAGAAGAGCAAGAGCTTAATGCCTTCTAAAAAGCTAGAGTTCCCAAAATAAACTGTTTTCATAGAGAAACAGAAATTGAATCAAAACAAATCAGGGAAGTAACATATTGAGAAATCACTCAAATAGTCACTAAAAGCAAGAGTGGCTTTAGGCAAAGAGCAAGCACAAGCAGAGTTTTGTCAGTGGTACTGACTGTGGCTCACAGATGTTAAGGGTAGAGCCAGGTGGAAACGTTCAACAGCAGGAGGTTGCATATCGGTGGTCAACAAGACAAATCTACAGCCTTCCTCCTGCTCTGAGTGAAAGAGCTGGGGGTTTTGCCTTTTAGACAATATACCTAATGTCCAAGTGTACATTTCCTGGGCTATCTGAATAATAATTGAGTGAATAATGACCTCTGTGAGGCCCTTCAGCCAAGCAGCCTGGTGTTATTCCATCAAAGGCACTGCTGAAAGCTGCTTTTGCTTAGCAACATTTTGAGTATGTTACCAGCAGCTCCAGCTGCCCAACTTTTCCAGTTGTCCAGCCTTTCATAGCCTGTCAGATGCTAGAGATGAGCCTAAGTAAGTCGCAGGTGTGCTGCTGTCTGTGCTGGATGAGTGCAGGGACCCCAATGCTGGGTGGTCTCTTACCTCGACTGTTCATGGACACTGTGCATGTTCCACAAGACGCAGGAGTCATCCATGACCACGATGAACGGCCACACGCACTGGCGCTTGACTCCCAGTTCCTCCAAGCGGTTTCGTTCCAGTTCTAAATTGTGGTAGGAAAGTTCCTTAATAAGAAACCTGGCAGCACCTGAGAAGACACCATGAAGGCAACATACAGAGATCTTTATTAGATTTTATCACTCTCTCTCCCCCAAGAAAGGCTACATGAACATCTGCAGTCATTACTCTTTATGAACTTAGTGCTCGTAACATCTTAGTTTAAAAAGAAATCACTATGTCCCTTTTTCAGTGTGAGTAAATCTAAAAGGCAGATACCAAGAAGACCAGACTTTTAAAGAGACTCTGCAGAACATGATTTTGTGGACATTAATAAAGTAACTTGAACCAAGAAGGGGCTGAGATTCTAAAAATGAAGCTACTTAAAACTCCTTGCAGGAAAAACTCAGCATCCATGAAAAGTCCAAAGTTCAAGTTCCCAGTGTTCAGCTGCAGTTAATATTTAGCTTCAGCTAACTAAAAGAGTTGCAATTTGAAAAATCATGTGTAAAATGTCTAGAATGAACACTCACACTGCAGAGCTGAGTAAAATGAGTGAATGCGGCCTATAAAACATCACATTTTAAACTGGGAAGGCAGTGATACAAACATATATTCCACGTCCCTAACAGCAGTTCTTACACATCATTGTATTTTGCACAGATATTGCTGCTATTATCACAGCATGAATGCGAGGAACTGCTGCAAAGTTTCCTTCAACAACACGATCCATATTGTCCAACATGGATTTTGATATCTTCACAGCAATGCATTGATGGTGTTTCTTACCAACGCCAGCATTGTTGAACATGCCTGGCAGGACAAGCATGATGTGGTTGGGCCAGTATTTACGGTAGAGCGGCATTTCATACTCCTTGACTACAAGGAGGTGAAGGTGGCTGATGCCTTCCATGGCATGGTAGAGGTTCAAGAGGCCATGTTCATGACGCCCACTCGATGGAGTGAAGATAGGACTCTTGACTGCATTCAAATTCTGCTGGAACAGGAGATATTTTGGCAACATTTGGTAAAAAGCAGGTTATTCCTGATATGGATTTTTATTTATTTATTGTTTACACTGGATTTTAAGATTATTGATCATTGCAACACATATGAACCAGAAACTAGGAATACAAAAAGGGATGATTGTCCTCAAAAACGCCAGTTCCAAGGACAATCAGGCAAGAATTATGCAAAGGAATTTAAAACAAAAAGAAAACAGAAAAAAACCCCCCAGACAACCACCATTAAATTGCAAATGTATGTCAAGTTGACTCCATTCAGCGCATGTAGCCAGCAGATGGGTAAGAGCAGCACACGCACCTTGTCAGAAACGAGTGGGAGACGCATGCTTTCCAGATGTTTTCCCTGCTTGCTGAAGACAAAATGGTTCTCTTTGGACTTGGGGATTATAAAATGCAGTTGAACCTCTTCTCCTAGCATCGAGGATGAAAATGTGAATGCATGCAGAGTGGAGTCAGATATCTGTATACAACAAAAAAAATCGGAAAAAAGATTTGCAAGCAGGTAACACGTAAGGAGTATAAGGCAACCTGCTCTTACAGTCACAATACTGAAAGCCATCAGAGAAGAACATCCAAAACATTCTCTTTCAGTAACTGAAATTAACTCTATTACATTCTCATTTTCCTCTACCATAAGCCACATTACTTAGGCATGTAACTGGCCTTGCTATTAAAACAATCAGCTTTCTGTACCAGTAATAAACTTTGGCCAAACTGGACTCTTCTGAAGTCCATTTGAGCTGGAGATTATGTATCAATATTTACAAGGAGAAATGAAAAATATCTATACTAGGAAACAAACTGTCCAAATACATTTTCCCAAAGGATTCAAGAGCAGTGTAGTGTGTGGGTGTGCCTCCACAGCAGAATGCACTGCCACTCAGACACCTCAGCAGCAGCACGGCTGCGTTGGTACAGTTTCTCCTGTGGCAATACTCTTCTAAGCAGCTAGGTAACCAAGAGGTAACCAAGGCAGACCATGCCATTAACAAGGCCATGAAGAATCTGGGTGAGCTTAAGTGTGCACAGTGCTTCACTGAACTGTGTAAGTGTATACAAAGTGCCTACGTATCTGATAAGGTTTCATCCTACAGAAGCATCTGTCTGGACACAAGGTCAAATCATTTACTCTTAGCAGTCATCTCTCTATAATCTTTACTACAGAATTGAAATAATCAGCCTAAGTAAAGATGGAAAATGAAAGGGGCTTTATTTAGGTTCTGTGAAAGCAGTGAAGAATCTCTGTCCCTTTATAATGCCTGCTGTCCAGTGACTTCCCTTTGGATGTGTAATTTCTCTGAGTTCAATTATCATAATCCTATAGACACAACCCACACTTGCACATCCACATAGCTATTCATATTTAACACTAGTTGTTATGTTTGACCACACGCACAAAGATGAATGGAGGGAACAACAGACGTCCTTTGGGAGGATTTGCTTGTGTCAACACACTTAATGAAGCATGAGGTTTAAATCAGACCTGCTGGTGCTGCTCTGAGGTAACTGACATTGCACATTGCCAGGTAAGCGTGTCTATGCTGTGTTAGGTTAATAGCAAGCTGTTGGGAAAGATTAGCAAGCAAGGAAAGAACAAGTTGAGATAAGAAACCTCCAAGTAAACTATCAGTGGTAGTTAAGAAATAATGTCTGAGCTATTAACCAAGAATAATCTTACCTGACAGTCTCCTGCAAGCATAACTGTTTATTTTAGAGATCAAAAGTTTTTTAACTAAACAGTTAAAAATTATCATTTTTGTCTAGTGACTCATAAGCTACTGCTGAGAAGCACACACAGTTACATACACAGGGAGGAAGAAGCAGGTCTTCCAGTCTCCCATCACAGGTGTGGGGCTGGCATTTAGGTCAGACAAGCATCTCAATTTTACAGTCCTCTCCCACGAGAAACTGTGAACCCTCTGGGCGGGCTGAATAATGCTTTGGCTTGAGACAACTAGTCACAATATTCACCCTTTGTCAGAGGCAACTGGAGAGGAGAACTGCTCATGCAGAACGCAGCAGACACAGTTGATGCTCTAGGGTCTGTAGCTCAGTATCTCCCCTCAGAATGGAAGATTTAAACAATTCCATCTCAGGGAAGTGAAAACATGAGACCAGAGCAGCATGCCGGGAGAGACCACAATGAAATCAAGGATGCAGTTTGCCCCTGGACCTTGACACCAACCTGTGCAGTGGGATTAATGTCCATATACTGATGGCACTGCTCACAGTGATGGAACGTATTGTAAGCTGCGTATTTAGTCAACATCATGGACACAGTCTCCCTTTTCTTAGGTTCCTCCGATTTTGTTTCTTTGCTTGTTTCTATGCACGAAGAAAACAGAAAATTTATGAATGTTAAAGACTGTGATTGCAGTGACAATTATTGTAAAGAACACACAAATTGTTTTGTTTCATTTCATTTTGGAGATTAAAGGCTCTTGTGAACTCATGTGTTCAATCAAACCAATAAAACCTGATTCTTTTTAGGAAAGTAGTCCTAAAAAACTCTGCTTACCTTGTTTCACTCTTGACAGTTGTTCTGTGTATACGGGACTTATACTTCTGTACTTGGGGTCATGTACATTCAGGTCAAAAGACATTTTGCTGAAGATCTCAATATCCGGCCAGTGGTCATTGCTAGACTGAGTAATCTCACTGTTTTCTGTATGATCTGCAACAACACACTTCAGGTAAGCAGTATCAGATACCCACTGAATGGTGTTTCCCTGATGTTTGCTGACTGACAATTGCACAGGAACTCACACAGGTGCACATGCACACACAGACATCTTTGAACATCATGAATATTACCAAAAATGAAATTATAATCCACACAAAGCCATTTCAAAGAAATAGCAATTCCTTGGAAACTGTGTGCAGGTGAAGGAGTCTCACAGGTATCTCTCTGTTCTGCCCCTCATCAAGTGGCCAAGGTGTAATTCAGTCTGTTTTAGCATAAAATGCTCAAATGAATGGTCCTATCGGTGCAGAAGATACAGGTGTGGTGGAACGAGGAGCATCAGGCAAACGAGAAGTAAAACTACCCAAAGGCAGAAGGATGAAAACAAGGAGAAAGAGGCTGTATAAATTTATGAACTAGTAGCTGGCAGTACATGACAAAGGCAGTAAAAAACACATCCCTGTTAGAGAATGGGATGTGGCCAGCAAGGATCAACTGGAACTTCTTTGCCTTGATCCAACAGAGATAAGTCTAAAGTAGAAAATCAAGTGTAAGTAATGGGATTATTAGAAAACACTGGCCAAAGAAAACAACTTTGGACTGCAGCTTGAACATGACTCAATTCAGTTTAAAATGAGATGGAAGGACACACAAAAATAGGTGTGTAACCAAGGTTACTCATTTTAGAAAAGCAAATTCAGATGAAACAAAGGCTGGGTGTACAGACAAGCACATGCTCGCCATACCCTGAATGACCCAACAGGATGTGAGCCAGCAGCAGTTCAGAGACCATTAACCTCACTGGCACCGTGCTATACTCACATTAAGATACGCCACCGGTCAGGTGAGGCGTATTAGTTTGTCCATACAGACAAATCCTGAGGAAGCTTGCTCTGTAAGTCAGCTGGCCTGAGAAAACCAGGGACTTGCCTATGAATGAGACTGGAACTTCTTGGAATCGCAGGTGCCAACCAACCAGTAAGCAGCATACCAACCATAAAAACACCAGGAGGAAGGGGCTTCAGAGGAACTACATCAAAAAGGACACTAAGAAAGAATAAAGTCCATGAGGAATGGAAAAAGCTCACCTGTGAATGAAGTTTTGTCTTAAATGTCAACAAGTGTGAAATAAAACAAGCTTTGCCAAATGTCAAGGTGAGGAAGACCTCAGAAAAGTGCATGAAAACAAATGACAATTTTCTTTGCCATATCACCCCAACTATATAATTTTTTTTCTTTTTCTTTCTACTTTGACAATTGAATAATCTCCATGCCTGATTTCAATGCAAGCATAGCAAATATTATCATCATCACTGTTTAAGAGGAGATACAGTAATCTATGGAGCTCTGGGTCCATTACTTTGACCTTGGTAATACTCAAAATTTGGGGAGGGTGAATAACTAAAGATGTTGAAATAAATGAAAACTGTAATAAAATGCAACATGGTTGACCAAAGAAATCCTGTGTTGCTTTCATTATGCAGCTATGAAAAATCTATTTCTCTGAACAAAGGAAATGCAATGCATCTTACCCTTCTGGACTTAAGTATTTGATATGATACTATATGACAAATTATTAATATGGCTGAAGAAAATGGACACAGTGAATGGTCTGTACATTTAACAAGTTGATTAAACAGAAGATGGCAGCATGTAACATCATAAGCATTAAGGCAGATGGATATTATCAGTGAAGTTAAAAGATCAGTAGAGGGGCATACTGTTTAATATTTTCACTACTGTCACCAACTCAAAAAAAAAAAAAAAAAAGACTTGTTTGCTGGTGGCACACTCTAAGAGTCATTGTCAATATGGAGAAGGAATCAAAGATCATCCAGAAAGAATTCAACGCACTCGAAAACTCTAACAACAGAAACTGGATGATATTTAACAGAAAAAATACGAGTCACATGTACAATCAAGGACTAATAACAAGCATTTCTACAGCAGGTTGGGAGCACCTCAATTGGAAACGACTGAGTTGCAGAGGAACCCACAAGTACAAACTACGTATCAGTGCCAGTGAAATGGGAGAATGGAAAAGACGAGTGCAATCATAGGCCTCAACAATCGTGGGGCTTTCAGTGGGGCAGGGGAACACACGAGTTGTTGTACATGGGTTGGTTAAACATCCTGCAGAATAGCACGTTCTGTTCTGGTCGCTCATGTACCAGAAAGATAAACTGAAAATAGATGTGCAGGCAAGAGCTGCTAAACCAATAAGGAGAATAAAGAGACTGTAGTTGTGAGGATTCTGTAAGAAGATCCAGGCTACCTAGATGAATGCTGAGAGGGTAAGAGTTCTGCCTGACTACACCATAGAAGCAAACATCAAAGAGGAGAAAAAGTATTTTAATTTAATATTTTCTTTGGTCCTCAACAGAATGATTGTAATTGGGATAGGAACATCCTTGGGTTGGAGAATGAAATAACATTTTCAATCATCAGAACACTAGGGCTCTGAAAAAGCATTCCAATAGAACTAGTGGGAGCAAAAAAGCCACAACCAAAAACCCCAAACAAACCCAAACTGCTCTTCTGATGGAGTTCCACGCATTCCTGGCAGGGGTGTGACATGTTGCTGTGATCACAACAGGCCAGACAGCATGATGCAGAACTTCTCTTACATTTTGATACTTCATCCTAAGTTCCTGGGATACTTTAGTTCAAATAATGAGAATAACAGTCCCCAAAGCTCCAGATAAAAGGAAAATACATTTTTCTCATATAGAACCACTTTCTGAGCAGAAATACAAATTAGTCTTTTCAAAGGTTTGACAACAACTACATTTTCAGGATGCCAGTCATGAGATTTATGCACCACAGAGTTATCGTCACTACAAAACCACAGTTATGTGAAAAACACCCTGAAGAGGACTCATTTCTTAAAGGGTTTGTGCATCTCAAGGCGAAGTCCTGCCACAGCAGTTAATGGATCTGTGAGAACTGACAAATGAGTGCAAATTCAAAGCAGTTCCCCCTCCCCTCTTTCCTCAGCATAAACTGCAGATAGTCTTACTGAAAACTGGTATCTAATTTATAATTAAACATAAATAATAGCGATGTTGCAGCCAGAAATGAAATGTTCTTAAATGTCTCGTCTGCTTAAAAGCAGCCAGTGCTTAAAAACTAGCAAGTAAAGATAACATGGGCAGATGTTGGGTTTAAGCTGAAGGAGGGTCAATTTAGATTAGATGTTAGAAAGAAATTCTTTACTGTTGGAGTGGTGAGGCACTGGAACAGGTTGCCCAGAGAAGCTGTGGATGCCCCCTCCCTGGAAGTGTTCAAGGCCAGGTTGGATGGGGCTTTGGGCAATGTGGTCTAGTGGAGGGTGTCCCTGCCCATGGCAGGGGGGTTGGAACTAGATGATCTTTAAGGTCCCTTCCAACCCAAACCATTCTGTGATTCTATGATTCTATGTTGCCCATTTACAGTTTTGTGTTCACTGTCACTTTAGTGCTATCCAAATATATCAATCCAAAATACATTTAATAGTTCTCAGCTAAGTCAAATATAAAATTTACATTTTTATTAATCTGTATTTAAATATGTGCAGACACCTACATTAAGTCTAGCTACACACTAATGGACAGGACAAGTAGTAGGTGTAATTTATAGTCTTTCCGTGAGCCTAAAAATTTGTCACTGCATTATAAACAGGGTCTTTATAATACATATTAAGAATGACTACTAAATACTTACTGGCATTAATCTCTTCTTCATCGTACACATCTACTTCCAGCAACCGGATCAGCATGCGGAAGAGAATCCTTAGGAACTGCAAGTATGAGCCAGTCTTTCCCACCTGAGCCAGAGATGGAAGAAAAGTCCACATCTCAACTCAGATTAATACAAAGGCATGCTACATTTCAGATAAACACCTTTGGGTTCACCTCATTCTAGCTCTGCCTGAAAACATAACAAGACGTAATATTCTCCATTGTGCTGAATAGTATTACAAAATTGATCTGTGAGCAAAACCTGGCCCACAGCCCGTATCACTTTTGTACGCAGGGAGATCGGCAGTGATATCGGCTTCTCTACTGATACACTCATGGCAATTTTATGCCCTGTGTCATCCACACGTATTTCACTTCGGCTAAAACATGACATGCAGCATCACCCTTCCTCTCCTTACCACTTGCAGCATGGACTTAACCTTAAAATTTGGCTGATTTCTGACCTCAAAACACATCACTGCATGCAACCTTGCAGGGGGCCTTTACAGTACGATCTGCAAACCTCATCATCGGTCCTCTCATCCTGCTAGTAAGGCAAGAGGAAGGAACTGTTCTCTTACTTGTGGTGGTCCTGTCAAAAGCAGCCGCCTGGGGTGGAAACTCCTCGAGCCAGACGTCTCACCCTGATTGCTGAAGTCCGCGTGGTGCTGTCGGGCTGTCGTCCACTGCCTGTAGTAGAGAGACTGCTCTTCACTGTTCATGTCCTTGTGAAGCAGAGGCCTCAGAGAGCTCAGCCAAGACACGTCAGCATGAGGCAGGAGGGAAGAGGAGGAAGGCAAATTCCCACTTTTCTGTGAACTCAGCAGACAGTAGGCAGCTTTTGACAGGATGACGATGCGTGGCAGTGCAGCACGGAGGGCCTTGCTGTCTTTGGCCGAATGGGCAGGCCACCGAAACGTCTGTGAGACTGAAGACAGTGATGATAGTTTCGAAGTGGTGCTGCTTGCCATCTGGTTACCCAGGGAGTCGCATTCTTGTTTCAGGGTCTCTCCAGCTGTGAAACCGGGGTAAGTTCCCTCATCTACTGAGCTGTGCACCACAGTCTGAAAGTTAAGCGATGGTGCTTGCTTCTGAGACTTGTCTGCAGCACTCGAGGAGCTCACACCATTGTCTGCCAGGGAACCTGGGGAAACAAAGAGCAGGCAATGAACAGATACTGGCTGACGTAAGAAAATGTAAAGAAATCATGAACTCATTCGATCTATGGGACAATCCTAACCTTCAGATACTTCTGTTCAATGAGTGCTGCTGGGTGAGCTCATCATGTGGCTTAGGTCAGTGTTTCACCACTTAAAATCATTGATACCCATCTGTCCCTCTTGCTGGAGAGGCAACAGCCTTTCTATTAGGGTTCAGAGTCCAAACACAAGTGTCTCAATCCCAAATGACAGCTAAGCTCCGTATGTTAACTACTATTCCCCATCTGGGATTTGGAATTCGATCATAGAATCATAGAATTGTTTAGGTTGGAAAAGACCTTTAAGATCATCAAGTACAACCGTAAAACTAACACTGCCAAGTCCACCACTAAACCATGTCCCTAAGCACCACATCTACACATCTTTTAAATACCTCCAGGGATGGTGACTCAACCTGTTCCAAGGCTTGATAACCCTTTTGGTGAAGAATTTTTTCTTAATATCCAATCTAAATGTACCATCCAATGACGGTACAGCCTCCTGAAATTCAAGTATAAGACACCACTGTATACATAGATTGATTTGACACTCCATTCTATGGGGAACTGAGCATTCATTTCACTGCAACCTTAATGTGAGCTGGGCTACGCTCTCCCCACCACACCAGTCAGGTTTAGTTAGTGTATGGGAAGGTCTGGTGCATGGCAAAGATCCAGTTCAGCTGTCCTAATACCTCAAACTCATAGGGAAATAAAGGCAAGGATCCCGCAGCGCCTGAGGAATGCAAGGAAGGGAAGGCTTGGTGGGAGATGAGGCTCCACCGATTCCTGAAGAGCTAGGGCAAGACCCAGCCATTCTGTTGGTCTTGGCAAGAAGGCAAATATCCATCCTCACCCATAGCTACCCCTGCAGTTAAAAAATTCCTAAAATTGTATACTATCCATTTCTACTCTGATTTTTAAAATCTTTTCAGGATCCACTGGACAAAACTAGCAACAAATGTGAAATGTAAGTTTAAAAATAAAAATCACAAGGGGCCCTTAGCTATGGCATACCATCCTCCCATTGCAACACCATCCCCTTTTAGCTGTAGACAGGAAACTTGCTCACTGTGGAAAGAATCTACTACTAACATTTCATTGCCTAGCCTAGCAGGAAGATACAGCTAAGCAGTCCACATTTGACTAAGCATCTCAATGTTTGCATTCAACTTCCAACGATGTAGGAACCAAGAATTGTTTTTCAGAGCAACAGCAGAATAACTGACCTGAGGTTCCAGTGACAGCACTGCTGTTACTCTGGGGCCGGTCCAAGTCTATCAACAGCTCATCAGAGTCATTCTCGCTACCATTAGCTTTCTCATGCTCCTTCTCACTAAGGTCAAGAGCTACAATAGGTCCTTGAATTGCCTCCTTCGAGACGTAGCAGCATGCCAGGCCTACTTCTTGCTCTAAGGCAGTCCGAGTTAAGTAGCTTGAGTCAATTAGTCGAAGGTCACAGTATTTCAACGACCTAGAAAACCCAACCCAAGAAAAAAGGAAGTTTTGTTTCCTCTGACTTTGAGGAATACTCCCTATCTTTAATTGCTTATTAAACATTCACGAACAATTTCATTAGCCAGAAAATATAAAATAATTTTAAAATATTCAGCACATAAGTTATACTCCTTGGTACTTTGCACAGACATTCACTAACCCACACAGTACGGGAGCTTTATTTTTCACAAACTGCACTTTCCAAAATTTTAAACTCTTCCCAAATAAAGTCTAACATACACTTTTTTTGGTGAAAAGATAGCCAGATGTTATCAAACCACTTACCCATCCCCAATTTATCTAAACATGATAGAGAACAACCATACTGCAAGAGTCATAACAGCACCTGGGGAAAGTTTCTCCTAGAGGGTCCTTGCCAGTTAGAATAACAATGCAAGGTAGACCTTCCAAATCCTGATAGGTGCGAGGGATCCAGTCCTCCTGCTCATTCCCTCTCCAAGCCTGTGAACAGAGAAACTTCTAGTCACATTTAAATGACATCTTATAAACCTTAACCGATTTTCTTTTTCAGTTCCTGCTTTTTCATTGCATACAGAATTTGCTTACTCAACATCCAACAGGAAAGAGATCTTAGGTACAGGCATGCATTTTTTTCTGGTAGTGAAGTGTTAGCCAAGCATTAAAGGCACAGAAAAAGGATACATAGTATGTTATTCAGTGCTGGAAACATACACCTGGTATGGTATTAGTGTGGTCTGTAAGATGAAAAATGCAGTTGATGCCTTTGATTTCAAGCTGGCACAGATAAAAGTTCTTTGAAATTAATGTAAAGCTGAAGTAAGACCTTCAAGTGGAGCATGAAAATTATTCCAAATTATTCTATATAATGAAAGATCATACGAAAGAAAAAAAAAATCCCTTTCACTAGAGGTAATCCCACAAGAAAAGACTCCTCACCTACAGTCTACCAAGGCCCAAGACCACAAAACTACCATTTTCCATGGTAGGCTGGTAGTGTCAGTTCCAAGCCCTTGCACCTTTCGGTCCCCTTGGTTCATCAGAGCTTACTGAACCTGGCTGAGCCCAGTTGTGTTCTCTGTGTTGGATGCAGCCTCCTAAAAACATTGCTCTACCTTGAGCAATCTTTCTTGCCGTGTTGTACAGTGCCCAGACTTCCGGATGCTACAGGCAGTATTTGATCAAGACTGGCATGGACACCCTACTGTTGAAAGGAAGTAAAGCTGAAAGAGACTCTCACTTAGAAAAGAAACAAGTCATTTGATCTCTACAAACACTGAAATTCTATTACAAAGCTGAAATGCAAAAATGCAGGTTCATATCCAGCCATTCCTGACAATACATTATGGGTACTGCCAGGAAAACTGACAACACAGCCTTTTAGATCACTGACCAGTCAAGACAGGAGATCAGCAGAGAAGCTCTTTCCAAATAACACAGAGACTTCACATTTCCATGCTAATCAAACATTAAAGTCTCTCCAGACAAGGAAATTAAGCCTTAATGGTTATAGAATCATCAAGTATTTGAGCTACAGCATATCACCTTGCTGGAAAAAGTTTTTCCTTCTTTGTTATTAATAACAGACAAAATCAATTCTGGAGAAGACTCTTATCTAGCTGAGGCACAGAATCTGCTTTGCTGAGTAATAAGCAAGCCCAACCACTCAAACTGTCCATTAAAAATAATATATATGTGTGTATATATATATATAACTCTTAGCACAAATGTGCAAGACAAGAAGACACTGCTCTCTTGACAGAGCAAGACTTACACAAGCTTCGTGGAAAACACACCTTGCAAGAAGAACTCTATCTTGAATTCCCTCTTGGTTCTTTTAGTCTCAACCTGTACTCGACTTGTTCTCTCCTTACCCTTCCTCTTCCCCAGAAAGGACACGTTTTATGAGTAATCATCACCTTAGGCAGAGGAAGGGGATTGAAAAGGAGGACTCACTAGCAGATCAATGACTGAGCATGCCATTTGACCTTTTGAAAACTTCTACTGAAAAAAAACTATGATTATTTTTTTTCTTAGCTTAGGAAGAGCACAATTTGGAGTAAGATTCCCCTTTTCTGCTACGGCTCTAGTCTCTTTCCCCAGTCCTGATTTCTTTCCCCTGTTGATTCCAGCATCCTCTGCACGACACGTTCACAGAAAAAAATTATTTCTCCAACTACTTAACAACATCTGCTGGCTCAGTAAAGCAGCCTCGGCAGCAGAGAAATATTCTCTGGCTTAGCGGGGTTGGTCTGGCCTGCTTCTCTGTTTCTGCAAAAGTGCATGGCTAGAAAATGAAGTAGAGGAAGACAGACACAAAGCTGATTTTCCTTCTGCTAGCCTAAAGACTTAAAAAGAAGTCTGAGTACCTTGGGCTTTGAGCTGTAAACTTGCATACAGAAGATGTATTTCTTGACCATCTTACTCAGAAGGGGCAGAGAGCTGCAGCCCCCTGGGTTCCTCACTTCTGAATGCCTCCCAAATGGTTTGATCCTTGTTACAATTATAGGGTATGCCATGACAGCGTGTCTGGTCAACAAAATAGTTATTTAAATTATTTTCCGTCTCTTCTTTCATTCTGTACCTCTGGGTGTGCCAACCCCCTTGAAACCTGGCTTTCTGATGGAGAGGAGTGACCTGTCTGGCTGGCCAGAGGGCTTGTTCAACAGAGAGGGGAATGGTCCAGTCACCAGGACTGCAGAGACGCTTGTCCACCCTCCCTGCCCTGGCACCACACAAACTGCTAACGCCCTCTTAGGAAGAGGCTAAGTCAAGTCAAACTTTTCAACTGGGGTCACTAACAGCTATAAAGTTTCCCTCCCTGTCCCTCAAAAAGGCCAGGATGAAGCCTCATCCTCCCTGCAACCAACAGCATTTATTAGTGGAACGAGCATTTCGAGCCTTAGCCCCACCAGAAAGCACTCAGTAGCTTCATATTGCTCTCACCTCCAAAAAAACAAAACAAAAAAAGGGCCTGGGCGCTCATAGTGGAAGCTTGCAGTGATCAGTTCCCCCACTTGCTCTAGTCCTCCAGCTTCAGTACCCACCTAACATCAGGAGAAAAGCCAAGCAGCACAGAGACTAAATCAAAATCAAAATTGTCTGCAATAAACTAGACTCAATGGTTGCATGGCTGATGAATTTTATAATGGGAATCAGTTGCTCAAACATATCCTTATACCATTTCAGATACCCCGTGTTATCCCAGGCACCAGACTAGCAGGTACAAGACTCACAGGCGACCTTCATCATTCTGAGTGCCACTGGTAAAACACACCTAAAAAGACACTACAGGGTTATCTTTGGGCAACTGAATTCCTCTCCTCACTCCCTTCATACGCATGTTTCAGAGTTGAGTGGGTTTTTTCTAGTGACCTATAAGGAAAGAAACAAGTCCAGAATCCTACAGATTTGTTTACTCCAAAAAAGCATCTTCTATTGTGGCAGAAAGGGATAAAGTCTTTCCATTCTCTACCTGATCAAAGTCCTCTATTCAGATCAGTGGCTACATGGACATTCAGCTGCAACAGCCCTCACACTCAATCCTGATCCGCACTAAAGGCCTCACAGGCTGCTCCAGCAATGTTTAAGAGCTGCAGCCCTTTACGGCAAAGGACCATAAAGAAACCCTCACAGGACTCTCAGTCCAGAACGATTTAAGGCTGGAAATAATGCCTAGCCAAAAAAAACAGCAAGACAGAGCTGCTATCTCACATGCTGTTTTCTCTTTCCCAACCACTTCTTTCCTCTCTTCCCTCTCCTGCTGCAAACAAGGTTTGAGGTGCAGAGGTGGTAGCTTCTTTAAAGGACCTTTTATCTGCTTTGGGTTGTAGGCAAACTTTTTAAGAAAGGCTCACAAAATTAATTCCTTTTCTGTGTGGCTTTGAACATACTGTATAACTCATAGCAGAAACAGAAAATGAATCTCTCAGTGAGACTTAAAGCAAGGATCAGGACAGATAACCAGAATTTTTTTCAGGCTGGTACCTAAGGCAGGCAATCTGTTTCCCTTTCTTTAACGTAGTGAAGTTCATTCAGCAAGGGGATTTGGCTAGCAGAACCATGCTGTTATACGTGCAAAAGTTCAGGTTGGTGCGTACATGCTGAGCAGAAGAGGCTTTCAGCATGCAGTGGTTTGAGAAAAGAAGTCTATGACAAACAGCATACTTTACCAGTTATCAGAAGGGTAGAAGATGGATGGACAGAGCAGACAACAGATACACTAGACAGACAGATAAGTTGGTGGAAAGAATTAGTTTGTCTAAGGAGATCTGAGCTCTGCTTTCAGAGCTTCAGGGATGAACCCTATCTGGCTCATGCTGTTACTCAACTTTAACAAGTGAGATAACAGCCGGTGTTTGAACCAGTAACAATTCAGATTTTTTCTGAGTTTCTAAATCATTTATGCTCATCAAAAGTACAATATTCTTCCATGGAGACAGATAGAGAACACGCACCATTTTCGCACAGAATAATTAACCTATAAACATGTGGGAACGCACACAAAATGTGTACAACAGTCAGATGACAATGACAGGCATACAAAGACATACTTAGTTTCTGCTAACCTTCAACCGTGTCACAAAGTGTTTGGCGACAGCAAGCTCCGAAGCAGGATTCCCGAGGAGGATCTCAAAACGATACTGCAGACCTAACTTGTCTCTTACTTCTTGTAACCTCTCCTTGGCTAGCATGGCTAGCTGCACAGACGGCACCCTAATGACGAGCATGTGGCCACAGCCATTCTTATCCTTTCCTGGAGAAGTGATAAGGTCATCCATTATGCTGAGCGTTTCAGGTGTGCTGTGATCTCTTAGTGAGGCCATGGTCGTGAGAGCCATCAGAGCTTGGGAATACTGCTGAATGAGAAGGTAGCAGCGAATCACCATGCTGTGCAGCCGGGGGTACCTTGGAGGAGATGCAGTTCTGCGTTAGCACATGCAAAATCACAGCAATGTCTGAAAATTATTAGCCGAAAACCAGGACCGTGTGGCAAAGTAGTACCCATTTTTTTCTGTAGCACTTGAAGAATGAAGCCTTTGATTTTCATGAACAATAACTTTGCACAAAATCTAACTGTGTGTTTTAAGTAAATGCATATAACAGTCCAAATGCAGAAGATAAAGAGCCAAGTCCTGGGCTCAAGTAGGTGGAATTATAAAGTTCTGTTACCTTCATTTGGGCCAGAATTTCAGCTAAAGATCTTTAACTTGATGGAGATACACATCATCTCAGATCCGGTTCACTTTAAGAGCACAGCTGTCCACAAGTTTTTTCTTCTACGAATTTGGATGACCATTGCTGCTTCAACTGGTTTGTCGGAGAAGTACTTCATAATTTCACATTTCTCAACTTCTCACCACAAAATTAGACTTAATAATATGGATTCCTGGCTCTGAGCCAAATCCGAACATTCATTTCTCTTTTTAACTTACATAGCAAATGTTTCTTCTCTCTCATTGCAGCTATATGCAATGACAACAGATACGAACTCACAAAATAAAATGCTAAAAAAAAAAATATTACTAAAACCTACTCAAGCAAAAAAGAACTCCATTCCTAGACATTCCCATGAACTCACTCACCACAATACAGAAAAAACTTAGGCTATTATGCCTTGAGTGCTAGTCTTGCGCCACAGATGTTCAAATTACTAAAACAACTCAGAGTTCCCAATTTCTCTCATCTCTTTCTTAAGTAATTTAATAGACAATATGGGATTCATTTGCATAAAGTTTTGTGTCTGTCCTTAGCCAGTAGGTACAGTAGTTCACTCTGCATACCATAAGCCAGTCATTTAAATCAATACATTTCTAAAACATTTTTTACTCCTCCTCCCACAGAAGTACCCACTGCACTTCTGCTACTAAAACAAATGGAGCCTTTCTTACAATACCAAAACGTCTCCAATGTTTTCAGGCTTGTAAACTTGTATGGCTCACCCACCCAGACAGAATAACCTGGTTTCTTGAAAACAGAGGCTACATCAATAAACTGAGATGCAAAAGCCTATCCTGGCTCCAAGGTAGAGGTTCACCTCCCATCAATTTCTAGTCTTATCCTAATCTGCTATCAGGGTAGTATTTGCACATGCACTAATCCTCCTTCATCCTTTTCCCCATCCACCTTTTAAGAACAGAAAGAAAGAAATAGTGACCACTGTATCTTCCATTGGACTTGACCAAAAAGGCTATGAGAAGCCTAAATAAATGACCTACTAAGACTAACTGACCTTATTATCATTTATCACATTCATTACTTACATATTTGTAGATAATAATGAATATTAAGGATTAATGATGTACTTAATTATGTTGTTAATTTAACACATTTCATATTGTATTTTACTTAATGAATATAGATACATTTACAATTATTACATTGAACTAAGTAAAATAGGAAAAACTAAAATAGAAAAAACTTTAACTAAATAAAATAGGAAAAAGTACTGAAGACAGAACAATCCTGTTCTAGTAAATATGAAAATACAATGAGAACTATAGCTTGAATTGTTACAAGGGATCTGTCCTGCTGATACGCAGAATAGATTAACTCCATATTGCTGGAAACGACAGCATTGCCTTCTGTAATGCGCACATTTAATTATATCATGGATATGTGGTATGAAAGTAGCTTGTTCAGGCAGCTGCAGGGTACTAATAAGCTACTTTCAGGCTCTGAGCTGCAGGAACCAAAAAACCATAGGCAACTAATGAAATAACAAAAATGATGTTTTTGAAATGACATCACTCACCTGGGCCACCACTGACAAGTCTGTTGTCAGTCTCAACAAGAGAGACACCAGAAGTGGTGAGGTATGAAACCTCTGGCACCTTCTTAGCTCAGTGAGGGCTGAGTCAAAAGAAGAGAGCAGCGCAGCTGAGCCTGGACTGCTGCTGAATGGGCCTAATCTCTTCTATAAACAAATGAAGGATATCCCCTCCTCCTTCAGCAGCACTAAATTTGTTACAAAAATAAAAATTGCACATACTTCACAGATTCCAAGATCGACGTCAAAGGTCATCGTGTCTTTGTCCCCCTATGATGGGGCTTATAAATATATCTGTATCCTTAAGATCCCAATTAAGCAGAATTCCAAGCTCCCATGTTACTGTTTACCTTTCTAAAAGTGTGTTGACCATTTTCTCAAAGGTTTCATCACATCTCAAAAGGGGACTTGTGACTCCCCATTGGAGGGATTTGCTGTATTCATTCAAACCAAAGTACAGCTTGTCTTCACTTGCTGCATCATCCTGTTCCATACAAAGATAGCAAAAACATAAGGAAAACTGGAACCAATTTTAATTTCTTTTGTCATTTAAAAAATAAGTGGAAAGTATTTTGCGAAGCAAAGTATCCTTTTCTCTTCATTCATTCTCCCGCAGTGATGCTATTTGTTTGTTTCAAGAATTGCAATAAAATGTAAATTGTTTTTTATTTAACTTATTATTTGTCTACAGCTAGGAAAGACAGACATAGGTCCTTGCAAATATTTCAGTATATCTCCTACCTGTGATTGCAGTGGGTTTCTAGAATCCTGCTAATTATTTTCTGACTCCCTATTTCTGGCTTTATATCTACTGGCAACTGTTATCTCATTTCTATTTAAAACCAAACCTGAAAACAGGAGGATTATTAATTTCCAAAATTATTCTTGATTGTTAAGATTCTACAGCTCTCTAATGGTAATCAGAAACTAATGATTTCTTTGCTGGAATGTAAATCTGCAGATGGCAATCAGAAAGGCAGAATATTTGCTGTCTCAAATTTCATGAGGCCTTTGCTGGAAGCACAGCATGGTCTCCAGTGCATTTACATCACCAGTAATCACTAGGAATGTTATTAATCACATATAGTCTCTACTTTTTTGGTGGGTTATTTTTTTAATCAAAGACTGAAAGTTGTTGATTTTTTATTTTTGGGAAACAAAAAATTGTCTAGACTATTTTAAAGAAGCTCACAACAATGGCTTTTATTAACAATCAATCAAAAAAGCAAACTTTGAATATTCATTCACTCCCTCATTTCCTCTATTCTGTTTTGGGGTTTTTTTTTTTATTTTTACAGCTGGCACTTTAAGAGACTTTACAGAAACCAACGGTCCACTCAACACAGTGAAGCCAAACTTGATATAAATATACCAAACAAGGAATAGGAGAAAAGGCTATTTTTTAAGCAGGTTTAGCCAAAACATCCTCAGAATCAGCTAGCTGAAATGATGAAAAAAGCAAATGGTGCAGAATGTCCAACAGACCTTGTTCTCTGCACAGTGATGGCACCTACTACACCATAACTTGTTAACCTAGCACACAACTTTTATTAGTTCCAGAAAAGTAATGAGCAGACTTGACAGGCTATGTGACATATATCTTAATAGTCAAAAGACAGTCTTGCCTGAATATGGAAAGCCAGCTCCAGAGCTTTATGGCATGTGTACATAGCTTTGTCTGACCAGAGCGCAGAAAGTAATTTCTCCCATTCATGACAGAAAAAGAAAAATGTGTAGTTCCTGGGCCTAGATGTCAATCCTACCTCTATCACCAGCAGCACCCTGGGGCTGTGTATCTGGAGCCTGAGAGAACAAGCTTCAGCAGAGTAGCAGCTCCCTCCTAATGTTTTCCTTCCTAACATATGCATCTGCTAGATTCTGTTATGTGTGAAGTCCACATTAAAGTTCAGAGTTAAACTTAAGAATTAAACACTTACCACAGTGTCAAATTGTATCCAATGTACCTCATTGCTAGAGCTGATCCTGGACTGCTGCGTTTGCAAGGCATGAGGAAAAGAGCTGACCTGAAGAACAAGGAGGTTGAATGCTTCAAGGACCTCCCTGCAATTAATAACTCTATCAGCCAGACCATGACTAGGCTCACCATGTGACAGGGAACTTGAAATGGCACTGCAGAAATAAGAATGCAAAGAATTGCCTTACTGACATCCTGAGATTCAATGCATTACTCTCTTCCTGAAGAAAAATCTCCAAATGATCATGGCACTGAGAATCATGGCTCAAAAACTTCTTTGAAAGGGTGAAAGATGTCAAAACCATTTGCGTGTTCTCTGTGGGTAGACTCAGGCAACAGGGGGGGGAAAACCAAATAAAGGACCAAAATCTGCTGACAGTGAGATGGTGAATTAGTGTGCCAATCTAAAAAAGCATGGGATGGAGGAAACAAAAAGTAAGCCAAAACTCATGAAATCTCTCACTGAGAAACACTGTTGCATGATCTGTGGGATTAGGATATAGTAACAATTTTATAAAATCCAGTGTCTTTTCCAGCCTGAAACAACACATTTCTAAAAGACTGGGGAACCTGATAGTCTCCTCATGTCCTAATTTTCAGCTCCTGGAATTATCTTTGCCTCCAGGATATGTAGGAATTCCAAATTCAGTGTACAGCAAAGACAGTAACAAACATGTGATGGTGGCGATAAAGCAGGAAGAATGTTGCTTTTATCTATTTTCAGCTGTCCTTCAAGGAAAGTATTTTGTTTATTATAACTCTGATATTCAAATGAATCCCACAGCCTTATGCACCATGTCTAAATCACACTAAGATTTTTCTCCCCAGTTTACTCATGGAACAAGAGCAGAATAATTAGCTTTAGTTATTTACTTCTTTTTCCATAGTAAAGTTGTTATTCAGTGTGAAGAAATGTTTCTGCACATGTGTATACATGGTGTTGTGTTCAGATCTAACGCTGGCCAAATCCAACACATCTGGTTTTTAAATCCTTTTCTTATAGTTACTAGGGCATTTTTCAGATGATGCAAAGAGTTAAATGTCTGTAAGCCTTCTTATATTAAAAACAACATAATCATCAAGCATAAAAACATGAATTAAAACATGAGTGAACATGGGAGAGATTTGGGGTTGAGTAGAGAAAAAGGGACGGAATAGGAAAAAGACAAGAGGAACAAAGAAAGTTGCAAAATTCAGCCCGTTTTCCTGGACTTCAATACCACAGCACTTACTCCTACAAACAGTCTTGTTAGGGATCCCAAAATCTGAAACTAGTCTCACCTATCTTCAACTGAATCAGAATTAGTTAACAAATATCATGGGCAAGCAAAAGAGATGATTTCTGATTTTGAGGCACAAAATGCCTTAGGCCTAGAGAAAGCATTGGGTGTCTAAGATAGTACAACTTTTGAAAAACCTGACTGAAAGATACTGGAAGAGGATGGTTTTCCTTTGATAGATTGAAGCAGCTACCTTGTTAAATCCACATGGGCATTGTCATGAACCAGCACAAACAGTGTATAGGGATTCTGCTTCACTCGTCTCATAAAAACTTCAAATTTTGTTTGAATCTCATTGTCTAGCCGAACCACGTATTTCTCGGCTCTCTGATACGCCGTTCCATTGTCTTCAAGGCCCAAGTCCACAAGGACACCTGTCAGAAAGAAGAATACAACAAAAATCTTTTCCTTTGAGTGCATCCAAAAATGAAGCATCAACAGTAGGTTGCCACTTGTCTGCCAATATCACGACTTGGCCAAATCACTGATATGCCCCAGTAAGATGATTATTCGAATGCATTTTCTCTCACAATGGGGGCTGAAACGTGCTTCCTGGCTTCTGGGTGTCCTCCAAAAAGTGCCTGAACACCATTCAAAGACTTCTCACATTACCAAAAAGGAAAAAAAGAAAATCAGACCTCCACAAAAATTTCCAGAGCAGTGCTCAGTTGGCTATGCTCCATGATCCTAGGCCAAACTTGCCCACACTTAGCTAATATATTAATCCTGCTTGAGTCTGAAAAAGTTATCCTGACCTTTCCTTTGCAAAAATCAAGAATTTACATAAAATTGACTCTCACTAATAGAATACCATTTTTTTCAGGCCCTGCTTCAACGTTTGTGTCAATGCAACTACTCTCTAGCATTCTTTGTAAGGACAGTTTGCCATCGTATTTGTAAAGTAGGCATGATGGCTATCACAGTATATGGCTTCGAACGCCATTTGAATTACAGAAGTAGCAATAAGCTACTGTGAAATGTGGGTCAACTATGTATTTTCCAGGGTCTTAATGATTAAAAAAAATATTTTAAAAATTGAAGTAAAACCCATTCAATTAAAAAAATAAAATAAAAGCAAAACCCTATTAACAGATACCAGAAAACTTGTGGTTAGTGTGTAGCAGCAAATTCAGTAAATACAATGTCTGAAGAAATAAGGAATGGAACAAAAAAAGCCATAAAGTTATGTTAGAAAGGAAAAGAAACCTGTACTTCATGTAATCTATTTTACTCTTTTCATTTAACTAGTAAAATAGTACAAAGCAGAGAAAAAAACATAGAGATGTACCACAATATTGAGCAATATCAGTGTATATCTGCACAAAGTGTGGGGCTGTTTAGTTCAGAGTAGAAAATAAAAGGGGAAAAAAAGCCAACAGCTACCCAAAACCAGTCAGACACATTACACCAGAAGCTCATATTCATGTTTTTCAAATGAAAATGCAAGATATTATTAGATAAACCTGAAGGCATAAAATAAAATGTTCAGCTGATAAAAAAATCCTACACAACTATCCTAAGGACTTCATTACTCCCAGGTATCAGAGATCAAGAGCTAAAAAAGGACCAAAGATTTACACAGATAGTCCTTAGTTCTATTAGACAGTAATTTTCTCCACGGAGAAACTCTCGGGCTTTTCTGGATACATGTCAGTGACTAACAGGGTGGATAACAGAGGTCATTCTCAAGGCAGACATATTCCATAACCTGTCCACTAAAGCTTCTTGTTCCAGTTGAAGCATTTGGCACCGGCCATGGTCAGACACAGAGCCCCAGACAAGAAAAATTACCAACTGAATCAGCATGGCAGTTATTGTGTGCCAACGTGCATGTATTACTCAGGCATCTACCTACCTAACAAGAGAGCTTCCTGCACATACGTCTGTGCTAATACATATGAGAGCACATGCACAAATGTGTACTTAGAACAAATAGCACTAACAGCTTTTGGGGATAAAAGATCTGAACAGCCGCATTTGCTCATGCCCTCCCTCTCGACAGCTGAATGTTTCTTCAGATCGTATGTTTCTCAGACCTGCACGTATAGGAAAGTTTCTGTAGTCGCTTCTGTGGTACAGCTTGGGCCCGGTTTATGATAAAGGAAGATATGGACAATTCATCAATGATACCAACTAATGGAGCCAATACAGGACATGCAAAATATACGTTGGAGCAACTTACTTCTCCATTTGTACCAGATATGATTTAATAGCAATCAAATACTTCAGTTTGATTTCCCTCCCCTCCCTTTTACCTGATTGTCGAATCCGTTGAAGGGTCTGCTGCACCAGGACTTCCGAACGGGGAACTATAACGATGAAGTCTACTTTGCTGAAGTGGCCCAGATCCAGGGTCTGATTGCCACTGTCTGCTATAGCACAAACCTGGGACAAGAGCTTTCTGGCAACTGTAAGCTGTGGCTGGTAAATTTGGAAGGTATCAACATCCAAATCTAGAGTGTGTTTGTTTGAAAAAGAAAACAAAACACAACAAGAAACATGTTTACTTTCCCACCCCCCCAATAAACATGACTCTCCAAACAGCCTACCCTCTATTATCAGAAAAAAAAATAAAAATCACTCAGCAGAATAAAGCTCAACACTCTGGAGAGCTGGGTCCAGATCACACATGCCAACTTTCTTTTTTTGATCAAAATGTGATAATACATCAGATGACTGCAAGTACAGCACTCCCCATTTTTTTAAACGCCCTGTTTTGAGGATTTTTTAACAGTGCAACCCAAGGAAACCTCAATGCCAACATAGTGAAATACATTCCATCAAGTGAACGAGCACAGACACACACACACACACACACACATATACATATACATACATAGATATGTCTGCATATTATGTTTTTTTCACCAGCTGAGGTTGCTGTGTTCAGGGCACAATGGGACGAGAGCCAGCACACCTATTAATATGAGGAAACTGAGCCTGCATTGATAATCCCGCCAAAACCACTCTAACAGGACAGCAGGTCAGTTGGGAGCTCATTTGTAGCTCAGCTCGGCTCTGAAGTAGAGCCCCACTCTTAAGTCATGACTGAGACGGCTGTATGTCTATATACTGACTGATAGTAATATACGCTGTGAAGAGAAGATTAGCAATATACCTAGGCAATAAATCGGGGGGGGGGGGGGGGGGGGCAATTATTTCTTTGGAGATTTCTTGACTTTTAACAAAATTTTAGTTTCAGATTTATTTGAATTTAATAAATGTCTATATAGCCCTAGCTGCAGAGGACTGCTGAGGGACTGGAGCTTTGCTCTCTCTATAGACACGTACCATTCATGTTTCCTTGAAGAAAAAGCATGTTTCTATATTTCAGTATTTCCAATAGGTAAATTCTATGCCCAACAATCCACGTTTCACTAGCCCCTGAGTATTTTCAACTTGCAGATTACCAAATTAAATCCTATAATGCCATTACATTTTTTATGTCAGTTTTTCTATTACAAATTAAATTCTGATTAATGGACTGCTTATCATAAAAATTACCTAGGGTAAATTTCTTAAAAAAAAAAAAAAAAAAAAAAAAAAAACCAAAGAAAAAATCCCAAACTACTGCAAATTCAATACACAAGAACTAATGTTGCTTTTTAAAGTAATAAGCCACTTTATACAGTCTTGCAATTTACATGAAAACTGGAAGTTGTTTGGGGCGAAAACCTGGTATGTCAGTTTGATATTGACACATGTGGACTTGTGTGTGTGCACCTACCTCCCACTCAAACCTGCCTCAGTGTTCATTTCAGTAGATCTACTTTGAGAGAAAGGTCCCTCTCACTGCCTAGGAGACTTACCTCTCCTTTTTTTTTAAATTCAGGCAGATTCCCAGTAGCTTCAATCATTGTACAGCCATATTTTAAAGACAAAACTAGCTCAGAATAATCGTTTCAGAAAACATGAAAGTTTGAAAAAGCACTGCTGCACATCATTACACAATAAGAATAAAAAAATAACAGAGTTAAAAGATCGTTCTCCCCTTCAAATTAATCTTGTGAGGAAGCTCAAGACTTGTCCTTCTGGGGGTGCCAGAATGAAGTACCTGGCAGTCTTCCTAATTGGATCTTCTGATCCATGTGGAAACTATAAACCATCTTGCTTTCATTCAGATCTAACACTGAGCTGATTAATTTAAGCTAACTAATGTGAATCAAGAGCATACCTTTTCTTTCATAGGGAAAAAGTGTTACTGGAGGTTGAATTTGCTTTGATACTAGACCTAAAATAATCTCAGCATTCACAGCAGCTCAATGTATCTTTTGCCATTACTGTCACATGAAAAGGAAAGTATGGTTAAAACTCTAATGAAAGGATTCCAAAATGAGAAAATTATAATTAGCATTTTTAGACAGGCAATCCTAGCTCATCTTTTGCACCCAAGTATCTCATCACATTATGCTGAATAACACACATCTCAAATAAGCAAATTATAGATTCCACTTGCCTAACACTTTCAGTCTAAGATCTTAAAACACTTTCCCTAAAAGTTTAAGCCTCAGGGCACAAGTGTGTGGTACATATTATTACCATTTTATATGTGGAAAGTGAGGGATATCAAAAGTTACGATACAGGAGGACACCTGGGGAGATCAGAACGAGAACGCAGTTTCCCTCTGCCTGAAGCCCAAGGTTACATTCCTTTTCTAGGTGCAAAAGGGCGAGATGGGTCCACACTGTCAACGTTACAAAGGAACGTCTTCTGTACTCTGCATAGTGCAGAACAGAAAATCACATATTTTAGCTTAGGAATCATAAAACATAGGGGAAAACCATTGCTGAAGGTTACTATAGAGATTTTCTGTCTGAGAGACTGCTGTATTGCTACAGTCAGCTGGCAGTATTAATATTTGAAGATTGGCACACTGACTGCAGCTGTGCCCTCAGACTCTTCTGAGGCACATGCATTTTGATGTTTAACAAACTGCTCATTTATTTCACATCTTGCACGTAAAAAAAATAAATTACCTGGTTCTTGTGTAGAAACCATGGCAATTGCCTCCTGAGATGACACACACTCGCTAACATCTCCATTAAAAGGAATAATGACACTCTCCCCTCGCTGCTGTAGCATTTTCTCCAGCAGCTTGTCCAAATCATCACCTAGATAACAATGAGCAACATCAAATTATCTGGAAGCCGTTTCAGACAAATGGTGTAGAACATTACATACACACATGTTCTCACACAGCTGATGTTGAATCTGCGAAGGGGCAAGGGGCTGGAGATAGAGGAAAGAGAGGGAGGGAGAATATTTTTCTCTTTTATTTACTGATTTGCCAGTTGAATGAATTAAAAAAAAATAAAGCACAGCTGAATAATTTAATCTCTGTGCCTTTACAGCTAGAGGTGACATCAGATGCTTACACAGAAACATATGCTATAAAACAACCTCTAAACAAACCTATAAAACCTATAAAAAACCCTATAAACCTATAAAACAACCTGTGCTTGAAGGGCAAACAAGAAAAGACTCATGCACTTACAGGCGCCCTGCTGTCACGTTCAGCAGTATAAACAGTGTTAAAAATGTTTCGTCACAGGGTGAGGAGATGAGCACTCCTTTACATGCAGTGAATGGGGAGAAGGAAAGAACACCTCTCGGTATAGAGGGCAGAGCTGTATTCCTGTGCACTTTAGCTGCTGAACAGATGACACGCCAACCCTAAAGAAATGACTGTCTTGGCTAGAACTTCTGTTTCTTAGGATCACTCACCTAAAGACGTATTTTTGAAATGCGATGCCAGGAAACTAACTTTCCCTGTGATGAGCTCATAACTGATCTCTTTTAAAAATTCACTGGTGGTAAGCATGCTTTCTGCAAGTGCCCTAGATTGATATTGACCTGGAGAAGAGGGGGAAAAAGTGAGAGCGATCTTTAATACAGTGCACAATCAACACAACCTTTTCATCCTAGAGGTGTGGGGAATGCTGATCTTCAGTCATGGATCTCCACTGCCTCTACCTAGTAGACCAGGAGAGGAGTCTCAAGTCTATTTTGCTAGTGATGGAAGGATTAATTATGTCGGTTTAGCATACCCTTTGCAAGCTGTTGCCTGTGGTTTTGCAAACTTGAGTGACAAATGATATGCAAAATAAGCATTTGTACCTTAGATGAAATGGAGGATTGTGGTTAAATATGAAAAAGTAATTATCCCCAGTGTGAAAAAAGGTAAAAAATTGACATTAATGATTTATCTACCTACAAAGGGAAGATGACTAGTCAAAATTCACTTCCACCCAGACACACTCATGCACACACAAACATCACAACCAGTCACCAATGTGGAATTTGAAAGTCAACATGATAAAAAAGGATAAAAAGCATGTTCTGTTTTACAGTGGTCTGCAGAAGACTGTGGTCAATCCAATATTGCCATGTGAAATAGCACAGCTGTTACACAAAACAGAGAAAGACAAAATGACTATTCTGTCACTAGGTCACTTCAAGATAGTTTCTAAGGTAGCCACACGAAGAATAAAGTTTCAGGCCTCTCAAGGAGTGGTGATTTCTAGCATACAGCTATTTTTCTAGATCCTCATGGGCATCAGTACTGCAAGTCTCAATGGAGCAATAGTAAACTGTGACATTGCAGTGTCACATTACAAAGGAGAATAAAAAGAACAAAAGGGATTTAAGAGCTGGAACAACTCTAGCAGATTAATTCAGCAAAATTTCATTGGTACTTGAAGCATACTGCAAATATACTCACCTAGGACTACCACGCAGAATTCATTTCCTCTTATCTTTGATGCACAAATGGCAACAACATAATCTGGTAGCTTTTGCTGATGTTTCATTTCATTGAGAGACCTCAAGGTCTCTGAGATGCCCTCTGCCAGTGAATTCTGGGTAACAACCACGTGCACGAGGTCCCGGGACACACTAGCGATTAACCTAGCAAGCCAAGGGAGTTGACCTGGTGACACAGAGATACACTGTGCGCTCATTTGCAAGGATCGCTCTCGCAGAGTGAACTCCTGCATAGCTTTCAACATGATCTGCTCAAATTCTTCCCTCAGGGGTATCTGGTCAGGACCTACATTGAAAACAAACAAACAGAAGAACAGTATCTCATATCAAAATGTTATTGAACCTGCAATAATCACATGTCTTGATCAGACAAGCTCCTTCACCATATTTTTTTGTATGTACAAAACCCATTCTCTACTCAGTGGAAATCTACCCACATGGCATATTCTTGCTTTTTCATATTATATACCTCTCTCTCCCACCATTTCCTTTTTTTTTTTTTTTAACAATGAGGTATTCCATCTCACTCCTAGCTTTTCTACCTTCAGAAACCGGTGGGGAAAAAAAAGGAGTGGGAAAATATGTGCCTTTTGCCTGGAACAGAGGGATTAATCATGCAGCCTCTATATGTTTTTATAGCAGAAAACCCAAATGCTTATCCTTGCAGTCTGCTTGTAGCCACGCAGTATGACAGACTGTCAAGTGGTCTTCATTTTGCTTGTTCTCATCATCCATACTAGTAAACTAAGCATGGATGTAAATAAAGATATTTAACCTTTCATTTTAGTTAAAATAGATTAATTTAGCAAATCTTCAAACTTCAATGTTAAGAGGTATATGCAACTTTAGATCTACATTCCCCATTGTAAACTGTATTGCGAACTTGAATTGGAAAACAGAAATATAAGCTATCCTATCTCAGCACCATACAGTTGGCTTGCAACCCAGAAAGCCAACTGTGTCCTGGGCTGCATCAAAAGAAGGTTGAGGAGGTGATGCTGCCCCTCTGCTCTGCTCTTGTGAGACCCCACCTGGAGTACTGCGTCCAGCTCTGGGGGCCCCAGCACAAGAGAGACATGGGCTTGTTGGAACGAGTCCAGAGGAGGGCCACAAAGATGACCAAAGGGCTGGAGCACCTCTCCTATAGAGACCGACTGAGAGACTTGAGCTTCTTCAGCCTGGAGAAGACAAGGCTCTGGGGAGACCTTACAGCAGCCTTACAGTACGTGAAAGGGGCCTACAGGAAAGCTGGAGAGGGACTGTTTACAAGGGCATGGAGTGATAGGACAAGGCAGGGGGCCTTAAGCTGAAGGAGGGTCGATTTAGATTAGATATTAGGAAGAAATTCTCTGTTGTGAGGGTGGTGAGGCACTGGAACAGGTTGTCCAGAGAAGCTGTGGATGCCCCATCCCTGGAAGTGTTCAAGGCCAGGCTGGATGGGGCTTTGGGCAACCTGGTCTAGTGGAGGGTGTCCCTGCCCATGGCAGAGGGGTTGGAACGAGATGGTCTTTAAAGGTCCCTTCCAACCCAAACCATTCTGTGATTCTATGATCTTTTTTTACTTCTTTATCACAGTCAGTGGAATTTATTTATCACAATGCTATGGCTCACAATTACAGCTTTAACTGTGTATAGTCTTCATAGTAGGTTTAAAATGAAAGCATCAGAAATGCACTTATTTTGTTTGCTTTGTCTTGTAATATCATTGTGAGATTGCTCAGCCGATTTCTGAAAACACAACAGCATTATCCTACAATGAATAATGTCATAATCTTACAGGAAACCTGAAAGGAATTCTCCGATATATCTTTTTTCAAGGAGCACTTTCATAAAATATTCTTATGATCTGCGATCACAGTCATCTGCAAATATATTTTGCACAAGTAGCAAGATCTGAAAAAATTATGCAAGACTATTTCATTCTTCTGTCTGCTTTTTTATCTTTGCCTTTATCTTACTCTTTTGCAATATACTGTGGAAGAAAGAATAAGTTTTAGTCCTATTTTCTCAACTGAAAAAGAGGCTCACATGAATAAACTGTTAATTTATATGTGTATTCATCTCTTCTCGTCAAAAACTTTTGAAGCTGGCTGGCCTCCAGTCATCTTTGATCTGCCTGGATTTTACAGAATGGGATGAAGGCTACAGTTCAGGGCAACTGTCACAATTCCAACAGTTTTAAGTTTGTAGCAAGATTCAAACCAGCAACATGTTTTGATGCCCATGTTCTGCAGAACGTTTTCACTTTTCTCCTCATTAGGGTCTTTCATCTTAGAGTGCTGGCGCCCATCTCCACATAAGGACAAATGCAGAAGTATTCAGCTTTGCACAGCTAAGGACAAAAGCCAAACTAAACACCTGCTAATAAGGGAACTTCCTTATTCTGAAGGCATGGCACTCACTAGACACAGCTCGGCTCAGCTCCAGAAGCTTTGCACAAAGCCTCCTCCATTTTGCAGCAAGTATAGACTTGCTGCATCCATCTAAGGTTGGATTTGCTCATGCAGTGTGGTTCACTGACTCGATAAGTTTCAATAAATAGCTTATTTTTTAACTGGAAATGCTCTATCAGCTGGTTACATGTTTCTCTGAAGGAAATATATAAGCTGCCTCTTATCAATCCAGAACTGTGTGAAGCAGCTGGTTTTAACATGCAGACTCTACAAACTTTCCAATGAAGATGAAAACCTCAAATAACAAATTTAAACCTACTGAGAGAAGGGCAACAGAAGAACATTCAGCTTGTAAAAAATAAAGAAAACCCTCTGTCAGTTCTAACATGGCATTCAATGAACTACTGAGGTAGAGAACAATAAATAAAGCGAACAGGTCACTTAGAGAATATTACAAGAGAGAAGATGGCCTCCTTCCTGTCTGTAACCGCACTGCATTGAGGGAGAAGAACGAAGTATAGGAACCCATGGGAGAAACCCATACAGAGCACATTTGCTCCCCAAATTACAGGGTTATCACCAGTTGTGCTTCTTTTGGAAAGTTCGCACATTTCATGCCATTACGTATTACAGATTCCCTAGCGGAAACCCAGTAGAGGAAAAGCAGTGTGCTCTTCACAAAAGTAATTTCACACTCCTCTATGATAAGCAGCATCTTGTCAAATACAGAAGTTAAAAGTGAGACTGCTGTGAGAAGTTTCCCAACACTATCCCACATTATTCTTTAACTTCTAAAACCTTACTGTTAACACTGCTGCTTTTTACTCTAAGGTAGGGAAAAATGTCTGGACCTGCAATAAAAGAAAGAAAATGTGGTTTGCTGGTTTGCTGTCAAACTTCCAAAGGGTCCATTTCAAAAACATTTACAAGAATGAGATATTCACTGAATCACTTGCCTTAGTCTGAATAACAAATGTGGTTTTCATGTTAACGGTGCTGTCACCAAAACAATGATGACCATCACACATCTGCCGGCATTTGTCACAAAACTGAATAAAACAGACCGAGTGTCCTTAGAAAGAGCTGTGATAACTGATGGTTTGATACCCTAAGCAAATGAGTTATCTGCATTGCAAATCCATTTTCACAAAGGTGACCTGGTCAATCCCCATATGGAGAGCAGAAGCAGTACCAGCCTTCTTCAGCCTGATGAACAAAGTAGCAAAGTCACACACACTAGATGGAGCCACTTACCTCTTCCAGGCACAAAAATAGCCAGAAAACTGGCTCTGAAATGAACACAAGGAGGGTGGGGAGAAAAAAAAAAGACAGTCACAAATACAAACAAGTGCTTATGACAAACTGCTTACCTAGTTGGACAAGATACTGAATAGTTAAAAGTATCATATTCTCCACACTTAGCAGCTGACTGCTGGACAAACCCAAGAGATCCAAATCTTTGTTTTCCAGTTGTGGAATCTTGTAGCAATTCACCAGCAAGGGACTTACAACAATATCACCAACATTTCCATAGAAATAAGGTAAAGTGCCATAACCTTTGAAAAAAAGAAACAAACCCCCCCCCAGAAATTCACAAAATATGCCACTACATGAAATCTTGCACAATGTATACATTTCCAAACTCCTCCTTAATGTTATCCTGCAAAATATTCTGCATCAGTGATTGTTCTTGGCATTCTAATTGTTTGCCAAATAAATGAGACACGCCTGTGATCCTTTGCTGTATTTTACAACAAGTGATCACACAGATTTGCAAAATCTAACAATAATTGCATACTAGCAGGATAATAATTATTGTTATCCAAATACAAATGTGAGTATTATCTATTTGGGTCTTACCCTGACCTTTAAATACAGATTCTCCATAATATAGTGTACAAAAAAGAAAAATCAATGGAAGGAAAAGTACATTGATCTTAACATTATAAAAGCAGCATAAGTCACATCAGCATTGATTCAGCCACTGCGGTATTGCTGTGATTGATTCCACTTTTTTTGCCCTGTTTCCATTCTGTTTGCATAAACAGGTTAAATAAACATCAACAACTAAACATGCTGTTCTGTAAGGTAAAGCACACGAGCACAGGTTAACTCCTTTTTCCCTTGAGCATGTTTTCATTTAAAAAAAAAAAAAATTCCACGCAGATTTTGCCAAACCCATCCGTCTGGGTACATCTGGTTCTGCACTATTAATAGGACGCTGTTTCTCAGGGCCACTAACATTTAGCCTAACTGAGGACTTCACTGGCAACTCTCCAAGAGCCTAAGGGCTGCATTCAATTTGCACTTAAACTGATGACTGTAGGCACCCTCATCTTTAATAAGGAAGTGTTTCTCTGAAAACCGTTAGAGCACCATCCTAGAGCTTTAGAATTGGCTTCTAGAAAACACCACTAAGCAAAACAAACAGAAAGAAGTGTAACTCTATCCTTGGTGGTTTTACTAATACATGGCCCTGTTAATTCTCTGGGAATTGTGTGCATGAGGATTATCTGTGCACGTGAGGACTTGGAGAACTCCATTTCTTCAGGAATGATAAATTATTCCATGGACTGCATTCATAGGCATGTTCTGTTAACAATGAAGCTACTTTACAGGACCATCTGTATGATCCTGGACTGAAAAGAGATTTAAAGAGTCCAAAAATCACTCATCAAAATTTTGGCAGTACTAGCCAACTCATCTTTGTTACATAATATGCCCAAGTAGCTCAGCTTGAAAGGGATATTCACATCATGAATCATACTTTTAAAGTAAAAGCAATGTCCTTCTAACAGTTAACAATGTACTTTATACAGCTAACAGATTTTAAAAGCCTGATCTGTCATCTCAGTTGCTTACAAGAAGTATGGACTACAAAAGACAAAAAGTTAGTATCATTCACTTCTGATTAGTCAGTTCAAATCAATTTTCTGGTTCTCATGCAGAATCCCTGGGCTTCAAGATCTGGACTATAAATGCTGCAGGAAATATTTGCTTGTTTTGTAAGTTGTTTACCCTGGAAACCTATTTTCATCACATGGAAATATTTCTATTCTTGGATTTTACAAAAATCTTATTTGTACAAAGCTTCAACTTGGCCGGAGGTTGTGTATAAATTTGACCTAGTTGTGACCTGTTTGCAAATCAGGTTCTCCAGAAATCGCTTAACTTCCAATTTTAAATGTTGAGCAACTAAAGCAAACTATCCATGACAAACTGACTTCGTATTGTACTGAATCCCAGAACCAACAAAAAGAAATCAAAAATCCCTTTCTCATAGGGGAGTGTGCATTTATTCAAAACACAGCATTTGATTCCCCAGGGTAAGACTCACCTATCAGAATCACTGGTCTGACTCCCGAGTTATTCAGCAGGTTTTCAGGAACTATTACAGTCTCCCCTGCTGGGATGGGTTGAGGCTGTAAAATTCCAGTTAACATGGATTGAGGAACTGGGGCTGACAAAAGAGGCTCTATAAAATAAAGAAAAGAGAAGCTTCCATTATTAAAAGGCTCATACTGTGATTTGACCGTATGAACAAATAAAAAAAAATTACTGCAGATCACTAACTGTAATAAAATTCAAAAGGTCTCTGCATTTCCTGCTATAGTTTTAAGTAATTTAAATTAAGAGCCCATATCCTCCTGTAGCCCCTCCCCTAAAATAAAACTTTTTCTGACCACTGTATTGTTGGTGGGAATGAGAGAGGAAAACACAGGTTTGAATATGCATCTTGAAACAAAGCCAAGTACTAAGCCAAAAGGCCACCTCTAAGACGGAGGCTACCACTCAATGCTGCCTCTCAATACAAGGGAAGAGACTGCTCCAACTTCTGACCTCGAATATATGTAGATAAGAAAAACAAATACAGGCCAAAATCTCAAAGCTGTCCTTAGATAGTTGCTAGAAGGATAAAAATTAGGCTTTACTCATGAAAGAGCAAGAGCAGCTTTCACACGTAAAAAGAAACAAAGTGCAAGAATTTTGTAATCTGTCATCAGGTTTCAGCCTGAGGTCTGCTTCAGAAGTTTCTCGGGCTTCATTTGGTGGTTTGTAACAGAGTTTTCAAACAATGCCATCAACCAAAAACATCATAGGCAGCATGAATGAATGCATGCATGCATATGTTTTAGGTGTGGAAATTGTTTATCCAATAGCAAAACATACTATGAAAGACTCATGGAAAATGGAGTACAAGCAGAGGTAGTAGATTTGTGGAGACAGACTCAACAAAAAGGAGATTGCCTTATGTCGCCTATCCTCAGCAGATCTCTGAAGCTAGAAAGCTGTAAAAGCTGTGATTGATTTGAGATGCTCAAGTAGGCAGGCCTGCACTATCATGTAACCCTTCTTCCCATGATGAATACGTCTGAAAATCAATTCCAAAATATCTCAAAACCAAGTCCTCTAATGCATGTGGACAAATGGTTTTTTTCCTTCCTTGTACATTTATTGTCCCACTCTACAGAGACAGGAATAAGGAATTGCTTATTCCCCTTTACAAAGTATTCTGAATCCCACAGCTGTAAAGCACTTAAATAGTGAACGGTTTTGTTGATAGCTATGTAGAAAGAGGTACCTTACATGCATATTGATGAGTAGTCACACAAACTCACATTTAATCCTCTTTCATATCATGATGTTACATATCCCTCTCACAGCTTTTCCATGTACAACAGACATCTGACCTCACAAACGTTATGCTTTTAACTGAAGATGACCTAGTGGACATCAGCATCCTTTGTTAGGCCAAAATTATATAAAGCCCTTGTTCCTGTGCAGGAACCAAGTGTACTGTTTCTGTAGCATGCCACACCAGACTGAGACACAACACTCAATGTAAAGGCTAATGGAAATTCTTCAAATATGTTCATATATCCATACGCCTGCACAATTTTAGAAGAACAGAGTTATATCTAGGGCACTTAGCTTTGGATTCTTACTAATATTATTTGCATCTTCCTTTCTTCTCTCTCCCCCAGTAGTTTTGCTTTCCTGTTGTCCCATCTTAGATTATGGCAACAAGGACCAGGCAATCATGTGTGCTTTTCTGAGGCATCTGAAAAACTCTCCATGGTGTACTTAACTACTTCAACAAGCTCAGTTACGTTTTCTGTGCAACACTTAAGCAGCACAGGGCTACTGGTCTGGCTCAATACAGCTTTTACAAACAAAACTGGTATGATTTAAGTTTTACCCGTTCTTGTCGAAGGCCGAATTGTAGGAACAGGTACCGCTAAACCAGGAGGAGGGACTGGGGACCCAGGAGACCATCCCCGGTGACGTTTCTTTGGTGGTCCAGAACTGGACATTGATGCTGGGAAGGAAAGCAAAAAAACAGTTCTAAACCCCATCCTCCCAAATGACCAGATTCCAGCCCACATTTCCATTTCACGTTGGTATTGAGCTGGTATCACACCACAGAGAGCCAGAGGTTTACACCTAGATTTGCACAAAGCCAGAGTATAATGTGAAAAATGTTGCTACCTGTGTTAAAAAGTACAGCATTATCATTAATGGTCATGACAAAATCCAAATGGATCTGTAAAGACTGAATTGCAGAAACAGCTATGATGGGAAGAACAAAGTGACGAATTTCAGGCTCAACAGCCAGTGCAGCTTAAAATAAAAGAACAGGGTGTTTTTCTTTACCTTGGTCTCCAGCTGCAGAGCCAGGGCTTGGAGATGTAGAGTGAGGCATTGGCCGAGAGACTGTAGAACTCAATACACTATTTCTTCCTCCATTAGCGTTTCCATTAGCAACATCGTTGGCACGTAGTGAAAGAGGAGCTGAGTATAACAAAATACAGAGTGTGGGGCTTGAGACAATCTTCAAAACAAACAAAATAATACGGCCACACATGCAGACACAAAAGAACAGGGAAAGATGCGTGACAAACATACTCCAGGGAAAGCATGAAGTATACATAGCAGAGAATAATTTGGGCACAGGCGGCAAAATCCTAACCTTGAAACGGGGTCTCCAGATTTCAGGGTGAGGAGGATAGGTGGAAGAAAAAATCCAAAACAATCGCCAACAAAATAAAATAGAAAATTACATACACAAAAAAATTATTGGGAAGTTTGTGACACTTCTTTTTTAACACTGAAAATTTAAAAAAAAATGCACATCATGAATTCAGTTTGTAAAGATTCCTAAGCCACTTTGGTGCATCTGTATCTTTTACCCTCGGTGATCCATGTGCCGTACACAGTAATTCACTACAGGGTTCTCATCTAAAGCTGCAGCAAAGGAGACCAGGCAGGGAAGACAGGGCAGTTTGCTGTATACAAGTATACGTGGTCTGAGCATCACTGAGGCAAACCATGCTTAATTTTGCTACCTCTGTATAAGACAATCCTCCAGTCCCAGCAAGTCCCACCCTGGCAGGACCCACTATATCCAGACCACAAAATGAACAACAGCGGAGGATCATGAGAAGTTATCCTCACACTTCTGAGCTCCTTCCCATTCTTTTTCAGAGCCTAATTTTCGCAGAAGGAAAAAAAATGGCATAAACTGCATAGAGCAGACATGGAGCCCAGTGAGGACTACAGCTCCCTGCCATATCCGTCAGCTCCACGAGGACTTAGCTCCCAGGAACATATTCCAGGAGCAACAGCAGGAGATGGTGCTGCAGCTTGCTGATGTCAGCTGCAACAGAAAGAGTTTGAGATGTGGGTATTTGGCTTAAAACAACTAAGGTGGAACTCTCCAGCTGCAGTCATCCAAATAAATTCAGGCACAAGATTCTCACGTTGCCAATTAGCAAAACGTGAGTAACATCACTTGCCCATTGTAAGCTCCCCATTTGCACTGTGAGTCAACAATTTGGCACGGACAGATATGGTGGACGTGGGTCAGTTACAGAAGTGGCTGAAATGGTGGGAAGTCTTTTCAGTGCATGATAAATTATCTTTCTTACACAAGTATGGAGGGGAAAAGGGTATTTTACACAAAGAACTGTTAATGATTCATTAGATACAATGTAATAATATTATGTATATATAACAATATATATTGTATAAAATAGCAGATATAATACATCATGTATAAAACGTAATGCATGTGTGCATATATAACCAAATAAAGTTATGTTTTTTCTTACTCAAGCATACTTCTCTGTAATAAGTGTGATAATTATATTTTTTCATTGCTTATAAGACTAACCAGCTAAATTAATAAACAATCAGAATATCACAACCGAACACCAGTGAGGGATTTAGATGCCACAGTTGAGGTTGGTTCTAATTTATTAAACACACAATACAGAAATAATTAAAATTATTTAAAAGTTCTTTAAATGAGACTAAATTCCATTAAATGTATCTGAAGGAACTATACCTGTAACAAATGCAGAACCACACACAGCTCTCAGTTACTCAGGTAAGAATCCGTGTCATATCAAGAGGTGACTTTTATGCTCTCTTAGACATCTTACAAAGTGCAAAGAGGGATATGACGTACACTTTTACCAGAATGTCAAATCTGAAAGCCAAGGTGTGGCTCAGTTTGGGGCCAGTAATGGCCAGGGAAAATTTCTGTGCAGAGGACTGCAAGAATACGAGAGTTATGGAGAATGGTAGTGAATGTTTTCCTTTCCTTTTTCCACCAAAAAGATTATTCCCTTATGTCTTGGCTGTTAAGCTGATAATTCCCTTGGCTCTCAGCTATCCTGGAAAGCAAAGCCATACCTGCAGAAAATGCCTTTCCTACAAGCTGTACTGACAGAGCCAGGGGTTTTGCAACGCTCTTGTTCCGGGATGGGTCTTGAGTTCCACTTAAGTTAACAGCAGAAGATGATTTTGCTGGACTGAATACTGAAGAATCTGAGAAAAGAAGTTGTTTACTTAAGTAATGACTAAACGTTTTATATGTATGCGTGTATATATAAGTTGTATTATATACACATGAACAGTAATATACATTTATCTAAACTCATCTCTGTATACAATGCAAATAATTTTTTTACACTCCTAAGAAATCACCACGTATTGGTATTTTTAGGACTTGTAAAAAATCTTTATCTGGGCATTTCTATAGAATCTCATAATCTACAGACTGATCCCCTTCACAATATTTTGTATTCACATACACTCAAAACATATTTTAACTGTCGAAAGGGCTATCCCATTGCTCCTCAAAATATGCCTGTGGGATAGGCAAGTAAACACACCTACCCCATGTTACAGATGAGAAAGCTAAGGTAAAGAGCTTACGTGACTTGCCCCCAGCAAGTATAGGGAACAAGCACTGCAATAAGTTGCCTACAACAGTTGTGGAATCTCCATCACCTGAGATTTTCCAGAACAAGTTATTGAACCTCTGTCAGACACAGCTGAACTTGACTTAGGGCAGAAAAAAATATCAAATACATAAAATCTCCTTACGGCACGACTCTCTATAAGGCTATGAAAAGTGTATGGCCATTATAAGCCTGGGTAGGAAATGAAGAGTATCTGAGCCCAAATTCTTTGCATGAATTAACAAACAGCAACTCGTTAGAGCACTTAGCAAGGCTGAAAAATATTAGCCCTATTTTGTAGATGGATAAGCTGAAGAACAAACAAATACTTGCCCAGTATAAAACTGTAAATCAGAACTGATCCCAAACCTCTCAGCACGTAGGCCCCTACTTTAACATCAGGCATTTAATATCTGCAATTTACTTCAAGAAAAATTCAATGTTCGGATGCTAATACACTGACAAATCCAAACTCTCATAACTGGGGTGAAAGAATATTAACTCAGCGTTTGTCCAGAAAGTAGTATGCAACAAGTAGGCTAAGTTCACCTACAGATGTCCTAGTAAAACAGCCAGGGAAAGAAAACAGAATGTAAAGACCAACTTGATCTGCCAAATAACATTCCCCCTCAGGCCCCAAACCATTTGGCGAAGGAGGGTGGGGAGGAGAGTCTGCTTTGCCAGACGGAGTAACAGGGATGGGGAATGAACACAGAAGCCTCTGATGGTGCTGCTCCACCAGAAAACCTTGTTCACGTTCACAGGAAACATGCTGGATGGCTAACAAAATAGACCACCGGGTCAGAGGCTTTGGAGGAAAACGCTGGTGTCTCATTAAATATGATGTAGTAAATATGTAGTATTAAAGTTTTCCTCAAAGTAAACTGTCCAGAAGCTTTAGGGGTTGTGGTTTTTTTTTTCTCTCTAGTTCTAATATTTTTTCTTGAAATGTTATCTATGAACGTAAATGTGGCTCGTATATGTTTAAATATCACACTGGTACCTAAGCAGAACTTGTAGTACTACCAGTTATTCAAACTGTTCATCTTTCTATTGTTAAATGCTGTTTCCAGTTGCTTAGCACACTTTTAACACCTGAATTGAAGTTTTCCCTCGTGTGTCTGCCTAAAACTGAATTTTTTATTCTGTTCAAGGTTTCAGTCATTTTTGCATTGCCAGGCGCTTCTCCTCTGCAACACAATTGCATCTTCCCACACTGTTTTGAAAGGGGGACCCAACACCTGATTGCAATGTCATGCCCACGCCGTACTGTCAGCTTTAACTATAGTATTTCAAAATTCTCTTGTGCTCTAATTTCTATCACAAAATTACCATTTCAACACAGTACTCTGAGCGTGCCCACAACTGTTTACCTACACGTGTCTTTTAGAACTTGTCTATTTAGAACCCAACTATTTACATAACTTTAAAAGGAAAAAAGTGGTATGAGATGGCAATAAACTGAAAACAATTTCAGAAAGCAACTTGCCAGCAAGAATTCAACTCAAAGTACAGCTATGCAGAGTCTAGGAGGGAAAAAGTCAGACCTCTATCATAGGCAACACATGTCAGAATTCACGCCACCAAAAAAGGTGCCCTCCCCCCTTCTCCGGGTCACAGGGGATTCATATGTATGCATGTGACATTATCTGCCCTAGAAGATAACCGTAGGAGGAGATGAAAAGGTTTTGACAATCGTGACCTAAGAGTACAAACAGTGACACACAGAAACACCAAGCAGCCTGAAAATCTCAGCGAGTGATAAGGGGAAAGCAGTATATAAAAGGTGTATCTATTAACTTGGCAGGTACAATAGAAGACAAAGCTGTGTAAATATTGGATCACTTGTCATTTCAAATAAATAAATTCTGATGCATCTGCACAGTTCTCATGCCATGATCTGGAAGCCAGGGATCATGCAATGAAATGTAGATGTTTAAATAACACTCTGATTTCATTTTCACCAAAGCTGAAAGCATACAGCTTCCTAAACAGAGACAGGGGTGACTACATGGGGAAAGTGTCTCTGAACATACTGATCAGTGATTACAACTTCATAAGAATGCATATGTTCAGCTTTTGTTTGTTATTCCTTTTTAACATACTTTGTAAGTGGAAGAAATATTTTAAAAATCTTGTTTTTTCATCTGCATTTCATACTCCTCTAGAGAAATGCATGTTTTGGTACATACATATCAACCAATTATGACAACTAACAGAAAGTTTTCTCCTGTTTTTAATTTTTTGAGAAATAGCACAGACAGACACAAAAACACAGAACAGCATAGATGAAGCTGCAATAAAGCAATGAGAAAAAAGCTCAAAGAAAAGCACCTTGGCTATTTGCAAAAAATAAATAAAATTAAGATGCTGCTGCTTTGTCAGCCAATGACGATTTGATTTTTATAGCTTCTCCTTGTTTAAGTATGTCATTAATGGCTTTCTAGAACAGTTATGAGATGCATGCTAGCTCACGTAACACAAAACCACTGCATGTGTATGGGGAAATTGCTATTCTAAGTACCCCCTTGTGTGACATAAAATATAAATAAATAAATAAGCAAGCAAGCAAATAAATAAAAGTTGTCACCCTAACCTCAAAAGGAGATAATTTTCCTTTTCAAGACAAATAATCTAGTCTACATACTAAGTAAACACCTCCCTATAAATGTGTAATTCAAGATTTTTGAATTTTTGAATTACAAAAAAATAAATGAAACAAACACAGGGAGACACAGAATCAAATAAATGAATCAAAAAATCTTTTAATACTTTTTAATCGACTATTCTTATGAGGACTAAGCTAACCTTCAGCCTCACCTGGGTCTTAATCTTTCACAAAGCAAATTTTACAAGGCATCCTCCCCACTGTAACCTATACACAGCTTGAGGGAAATACCCAGTTGTTTACAGCATCCCTGAACCAACAACATCTGAGGTAACTTACCACCCCCAATGGTTATCTTTATAGCACTTTCAGCTCCTACCTGTCTGAGTGAACCCTGATTTGTATCCATTAGCTGATCCACCCTCTGGGGTCGTGGACGGTGACACCGAAGAATTTGGTTTAGCAGAGAGGCTAGCAGCGGATGATTGCCTGCTTCTACATTCTGCAAACGAAGCAGCTACAGTACATATTAACAAGGCCTGCCTTCCAGGAGCGAAAGTTCAGCAACACGGTGGCGAAAGGTGACAAAATGTTAAAAGCATACATACAGCACGTACAACAAACAGTGGCAAATGGCAGCATTCAATGAAAATAAAGCTCTCGCAGTTTAGTCAACTTTGTCTTCTAATTAAGAAAACCTCCCTGGGGGCCACTCAGAGGGCCAGGCAAATACAGACCAGACGCTGCAAAATGGCAAGTGCTACGTTCGCAGCTTCCAAGAGATTTTAAGGTATTGGACATATCCCAGGAAATACTCAGCAACTTCTGTGGCACAACCTTTATACAAACCGTCATATGTTGCCCTTTAAAAGGAGAAATTGTGCTGAATCCCAGATTCTTAGTACACCTCCACAAAACCTTCAGGGAGATCTCAGTGCTGTGAGTGTCTGTTTGGATGAAAACTGAGTTGAGGGAGGAGAAAGTGACCTTAAAAATCACACATTAATCCATTTTTTTTAACTGAGATCTAATCAGGTTTTGTTTGACGAGGAGGGGGTGTTTAAGAGCATTTCTCTTCTTCTAATTAGGCCTTTAAGGTAAGTAAAGGGTGAAGGGTTACCAGATGGATAGTATCAATATGAGGATAGATCCTACCAAAATAATGCCCATGAGGTCGATTCTTAGTCAATTTTCTAAACTTTCATGGGTGCTCAAAACACTTGCATTCAGCATATAACCAAAAGTGACCCCAGTATCTGCCTCTTCCACACCTTTACATTTGTGATCAGAAGGTGGTTTAAAATAGTTTTTCATGTGTGTGACCCTTGACAGCATTTACCAGGGCACACACCAACCCCAACTGCATAAGCATCAGGCAGAGGTTTCAGAAAAAAGATTCCAAAATTAAAACAAGGTTCCCTTTTTCTGTATTTGGAACTTCAAAAAGAGACTACCAAATTAAATCTTTCTGTAGTATTTTTGTGAAAAATGCAGCTGAAAAACACATCCACTCTAAAGCAGTAGTTAATTATACTCGTAACTGAGAAAAGCAGCTGAAACCAGGATCCCTTTGAACCACAAACTGATACAGTACTATAATCACTCATACAGCTCGGTGATAACCATCTCTCTCCGGTGTCACGCTGCCATTCGCATGAGGATGTGACTCTTCAGATGCATGTCAGTCCTCCTATGGAGCTTCTCGTCTCCTCACATCATCCTCTTTGGAACAACAGGCACCACATCGAACTCCGTCTTTACTGAGTGAGACCACAGTCTGCATATACACCAACTTAGTAGACAGCGAGTAGGTAAACCATTCTCAAGGATCCTTGAGTCTTTGCATGGCTCTAGCTCCAAAAACCTCCAATAACAAGACCCCATGGCTACCTTGCCTTGGGGTCACAAATGTCATCTCTTTAGCACATAACAATACTGCACAGGCTGCTCTGGTAGAGGGTAAGCCCAAGTGTGAAACACACCATAAATGGCAAGAGTATGCAAGATTTCTCTGCTTTCGCTGAGATCAGTGACATGAGCTTTCTTAATCTTATGGCGTGCTACCCATCCTCAGGCATTAGACAGATTGAATTGCACCTGCTAAGATGAGTATCAGCGGAAAGCCAGTGCTGGAGCCCTGGCTGTGAGTCATCTTGCTTCAGGCACAACAAGAATCAGCAGACTGAGCAACCTTATTTCTTTTACCAAGATGGCTGCACATCCTAAGAAGGGCAGATTTAGGACTCCCATTGAAAGTATGGGGAGATGGAGGAAGACAATTTACGACTGCATGGTTACTATTAAGACTTAAATAAACCTCTCTGGCAAAATCCAGAGGTCAGTGAAATCAGTGAGAATTTTTCCTTCAAGCAGTAAAGAAAGCCATCTTCTACAGTTCCTTTTGAATGCACACATTTTCAACAGCAACTTTCAATTTTTCATTCAAGATCACACTAATGCAATAAAAAAACCCTAAGGGAATGGGCACCTTTATTACCTTTCCAGCAAATAAGGGGTCCCTTTGACAGTACACCTTGGGAACTTCTTACTAGGTAGTACTTTAAGTGCTTCTGCTTCTTTGGCTGAGTGGTTAATTTCAGGTTGATATGATTGGAAAACTCTGTGAAGTACCGAAATCCTCTTTCTCCACAGCCTATACAATTCCCAGAAAATCCTGGAAGAATGAAGCAGAAGATATATGTACAGATTAAATAACTTGTGCTGTCTCCTAGGAATAAAGCCATATTAACCTACCTGCACATCCAGTTCAGAGCAACTGGAGACCTCCAGACAGATTCTGTAGATGCCCTGCTCAGCACATGCGTGTCAGGAAGCAGCCAAACACAGGCAGATTTTATTCTTAGCTTTTCTGAAAGTCTTCCATCTTTCTAGGTCATACTAACTTATGCCAAAATCCTACCACCAATTTTCCACTCTAGACAGTACAGAGAGGAATAAGTACTTGGCAGAGGGAGAACTATGATGCCAGGCTAGGAAATTTCCATAAAGAAAAAAAATATCTTTTTTTTCTACATTAAAAAAAATGGGTTCCAAGCTCCATGCATCTCTCTCAGAACAGTGGCTATAATGCATAGTAGCTGCTGCAACTTCACATGACTAAAATTAACCTTAGTATCTAATAAATTTTATCTGAGACTCCTTACACAAAGCATTTTCCAAGTAAGCTGGACCTTACAGCTTATTAAAGTTTCAAAAGCAATCGTTGATGTCAGGATTTCATGGCAAATGTAAGGAATGCTTCAGAATGTTTTTAAAAACCTACAGCCTCTCATGAAAGATTTAGGAACAATGGCAGAAGACTGCTTTTCTGCAATGTTTCTGACATGGTTTCACAGAAGGGGATGAAATGTGGCGTTAAGGTCTGGAGGACAAGGTCCAGACTGAGGATTATAAGCACCTTTGATTTCCATTGCTATTTACAACTATGTTAATGGGAATGTTACACATAGATGGCACTGGTCTAACATCTCCCAGAACAAAGCACAGGGCATGTTCTGAAATGGGCCTGCCTTAAAATCCTTGTTGGTTGAATAAGCCCTCTATTATCTAATGCTGAACAATTAAACTCCTCTGGCTTACTTGCTACTCCACTCATCTCCGAATTGCTTTAAACCCTTAATGAAGAAATATTTTATATTCTTTCTGGAACATCAATAATGATTTATAATACTGCTGGGCAGATTAATACCTAGTAGAAATGCTTTATTTTGGTGGGTTTTTTCCATTTACTAATCAGTTCAAGATCTGTAACAGAACCAATTTTTCATCCTTACTACTATCATCATTTTCCACGATGCCAACTACCTTGGAAAACACTTGTTCCCACACTTACCTGTCAGCCAAATTCATAGTTTTATGAAAAAAGATATTCAGTCTTTTTGACAAAATGCATGTTCCACAAAACTCTTATTAATTAGGCCATTGTCTTTAGCCTTACTGTGCCTCATTATCATCTTTCACCATCATGTTGCTGAGGATGCCAAGAAGTCGATTTCTTCATCCTGTTTCTCCTGGAACTGAATCAGTCCTTCCCTTCTCCCTTGCAACCCATAGGAACTACTGGTGCATCTCCATAGCTGTCAGAAACAGGCATCAGGGTCTCACAGAGCTACCAAGTCAATTCTTTGCTCATAGGTACCAGCTACACAGGCCCAGAGGCATTTAAATATGTAACATCAGCAATGCCAGAGCAGAGTTGTGAGTCATTAGGCTCATTATCAAATTATATCAGACATGATAGATGGATACAAAGCTGGGGGGGAGGCTTGTCAACAAAGATAAGTAGTGCCGCATTTAATCAGACTAACCATCTGTTTGTCTATCAGATAGTTTTTGTTGACCAGCTCTTGACACTTCCCCTGCTCAGTGGGGGAGCAGCTCCTCTGAGGACGGCAGTATACACCAGAGTACCCCACAATCCCACATCCCCAACCAGACCCAGCAAGGGCTTGTCACACCACAGCTCCCATCTAACTCAGGCCAGGGGGATTTCTGCCCTAGGTCCAAAGGTTTACAGTGTGTAGTAGCATATTAAATGTGTTTAAGGGAGAAATAACATTAAAGCACGGAAGTACAAAAATGAGGTGTTTTCAATAGTTATGCAAAATATTGCTGGTCTGGACCAGAATTTGAGCAGTGTGGTTAAATCAGGGCATTTATGCTTTATTGTAATTTCTTCCCTGTTGAAAGGTCTTTCTGAATATATTCTAGGTAGCACAATGACAGGAGGGAGAAATGAGAGAGTAAATTCAAAACAGGGTAAAGGAGCCAAAATACATTAAATCACTTTTACTAGCCTGTTAAAATGTGTACCAGTTATGAGCCAGGCAGGAAATCTAGGTGCACACATGCCTGTCTTCAATCACCAAGAAGCATTCTTGTATTAAAATTCTAAAGCTCATAAGCATAACCAATTATGACATAAATGTTTGGGTTTTTTTCCCCTATCTATTAGATTTTGAGAAGTAAACAGCCCTCAGAGCTCCTATTGAGAACAATGGTCCTGGTGGAACCAAGGGCAGAATTTGTCCCTTAATCCACAGAGAAATAGATAGCTCATCTTCTACAGTTGCATGAGCATATTTTTTCTTAAATGAAAATTCTGAAAGCATCAGTAGGGATAAAGAGTATGTGGATAGTTAATATTTAAAATGCCAGGGCTGCAATTGGCTTCTGCCCACACAGAAATCACCGAGCTTCGACTGTGGTTAATTGTGGAATCAGAGACTTGTTTTAAAATGGGCTTTTAAGGCAGGTTCAGCTATGGATTTAATTTAATTACAACAAGCATCAACATATTTCTAATAGAAGGTCATTAGCTGAAATGACTTTAGATAATTTTGAACTGACCTTTTTCACTGAATTATTATGGCACAAAGGGAAAAAAAATCTCTTACCTAAAAGTGCATTTTTTCCATGATCATCTGGCAAAAACCGCTTGTCAACAGCGCAGACTAGAATGTGCTCAGGAAGGTTAGGAGATTTGGCTCCTACTAACAGGAAGCCTGCTGGGATATCAATTTGCTCCATGCACAGCGATACTAACCGTAAATCCTTGCCTGCTTGACAAAAACCTAAAAAACAAACCAAAACAAATGATAAATCTGAACAAGATTTCATGTAATTTTCTTCTTTTTATCAGTTACAAAAGCTTCACAACTCGATGCTGTAACTGGGGGTTTTAATATATCTTTTTCAAGGGAAATAGAGGATGTGGAGATAGCATCTCATCAGATCCACTAGCTCAGGGTTTCAGAGACCATAGATAACCATTATTTTAAAGAGATCCTGAACACATTCAAGCAGAGACATAAGTCACTAAAGACTAGACATCAAATGGCTCAGAAACTCAATTTTTCAAAAGCATTCAAAATAAGGAGGAAAGTTTGTGATTTTGTAAGAGAAAACAGCTCTTAAAACATGCCGAAGAATATTTTTCTTTGCCAAATTTTAGTTTACAGTCTTTTCAAGAGAACCAATTTTGTCTTTATTGCTTGTAACATGCTGGCATTTGTACAGAACCAGGACAATTACTAAGTAATACAAAGGAACGGTAACAACTGATGACTGAAGTTTAGTACTAACTACTAAAGGAAAATTATTTTTAAATCTAATTTTTAACTTGTCTGTACCTTTTAGGAATTCCAGCAAGTATAATTCACTGGTTTTAGAGCTGTACACCATGTTTTCTGTAAGTCTCCCATTGAGTGTCCTGAGGTATCAATGGACTGCATGACTTCAAGTCTCCAATTAGTTGGGTTTTTTCCCCACCCAAATACACATATGCACACAAAATAAGAACATAATGTTGGTTCTTGTGCTATTGGTCAATGTAGGGCTACAGCCAGCGGCAGAAGTGGGCAAAACTGGGGACTGGAGTGAGCTTCTGCTGTTCCACGTCCTGCAGCGAGCAGGTGGCAGGCTGGGACGCAGAGCCCAGAGCTCTGGCCGAGCACTGCCATGGGGCCCTGGTGAGCTCAGGACTCGGGGTGAGCTTGGCAGCCACGCACCATGCAGCCATGGTGGGGATTTTCAGAAGGTTGGATAGGACAGCTTAGAGCAATTACGGGAGCTCTGGAGGTCTAACTGGTCCAATCTTTTGCTCAAACCAAAGCCAACTCCAAAGTTAGATTCTTTTGACTAAGTAAATTAACAACGGTATTCAAAGACTCTGCCATTAGCCTCAGCACTGGACTTACAAGGAACCAAATCACCCATCACTTTTTTGTACGGCTCCATCATATTATTTTTATTGAGTAATTTCTACTTTCAAGCAAGGAAAAGACAAGTGTGAGAGAAAGCAACAGTCCTGTGGCTTCCTCTGCAGGAAAAGATACAATCAACACCAGGCTTTCTGACTTCCCTTAGGCAGAAGTCAATGAAGCACTACCAGGTTTTATGAAGAACAAGACTCTTATGTTGCGCTCCCCTACAATTCTCACTTCTCTAGCTGCAAGATGAGTGCTACAGTCTGGCCTCACAACTCTCCCCTGGCAGAAACCCCCGCTATTTCAGGATGTCCAAAGACATCTCACATTCATCCACTGACCATCTCTCTCTTGCTACAACCATAGAAATATCACAACATAGACAAGACATGCATGCATCTGCATGAATTAATATTTTGAAATAAAGAAAATCTGTATAATAATGTGTTCTAATATTGTTCTTAAAAACAAACATATGAAACTAGATTTGAAATTACTGTAATATCGAGTAAGACTTCAGCTATTAATGTATATTACCTACACTTAATTTAAAGTATTATTCAAGTAGTCCATAGTAGTAACAGAAATTGTAAGGAAAAATCAAAACACTGGAGAAAGACACTGACTAAGCATCTGGAAATGCAATGCGATCACAGCTTAACGACGTATCATCTCAATCATTATTAACATCTGTGTCTGCACTCTTACCTACTGCGCTAAACCCCATAGTTTAAAACTTCAGCAAAGATGGTGAAAGCTAATGTTGTTTTTTTGTTTTTATCTCAAAACTGTACCAGGCAAAGCGCATGTGCAAAATGGAATGCACAGAGTCAGCTAGCACGAGCTTTCTGGCAAGCAGCAGCTTGCTGAAAACAGGATCCGACACAATTTCAGTCTTGTGCCT